TATGTGCATGTATGCAAAACGAAATAACAATATTATTATATTAATTGTAGAATCCCTCAATGTGTATCATGTATGTTTTGTATGTACGCCATAAATACACAAACAACATGAACGAAAACAGTATAAAATACTACAAATACATAAATTTTATTTATGTTACCTATTAAATAAAAATTTAAACATTAGTAAAGCTTCCTATTTCTTGGGTCCTGACTGTTAGACATAGTGAAATCGTTTGGTCCTCCACTTTTCTATACAGTTGTCATACAAAGCACAGCTGATATCGATAATTGACTATACTATGCCCTACAAATGCATATCACGTAAAAATAATATACGTAATTTGCGAGTCTTTGATTCATAGAACTTTAATGGATTCGTAACGATGTCCCAACTTTCGTTTTGATAGCTACTGTATCAAACGATGTAGGAAACGAGCTTGTAATTTTTATGATGAAACCCACTTACTCAATCTCGCTTTCATTCTACGTACAATGTATTGAATTAAGTTTCGTTATTCACGCACTGTAAACCGTGAATGAAGTTTATAACTTGCGCAAAATTCGCCCGCGACATTCGCGTTCAGAAACAATTACCGAACTCCCGAAATCAGCTTACCAGCTTCACAAAAATTCTATTTGAACTTAAAGTGTGCGTCAATTTTCGCGGTGCTCTTTTTTTTTGCTTTAACTGACGTGTTCGTCGACGTTATCCATTTACCACGGGTAATTATTCACTTTGCGATAAAACGAAACAGTAATTCGTTTTCCAAGCGAAGAAAAGCTCACGAAGAAAGGAAAATATGTTGCAAAAAATGTGTAACGTAATTCAAGAAATGTGATTTTTATGCGTAACGAAACGGTAGTAAAATATTAGTAGAGTATTATTAGTAAAATATTAATACGATTGATATTAATACACGTGTTAATACACATTTGTTCCTCTTTAAAGAGGATCTCTAAAAGAGTCAGGTCTGAAGGGGTTAATATGATATAAGAGGATAACAGAAAATTTCATTTGACTTTTCTTAAGTATTATCGTAATGTATGGGACGAGATGTGATACTCTTAGAATATTTTATTAAATTATCCATTCACTAGGAGTGCTTTGAAAAGTCATTCGGAACTTCAAAAAATTTCAAGTTCCCTGACGACTCAAATGTCCGTATATCATGAAAAAATACAACTTCATTTCGAAAGTAAAATTTTTCTGCAGCGTGGAAATTCCTTCACTTAACCCTTTCCGTACTTGACGACGATATATAGTTGTTCGATACTCTTGCCAAAAGTAACAACGATGTATCGTCGAGTATACTATATGGTGACTTGTATTCAAGTGGAAATTGCGTGTAATTTTATACACAGAATAACATTCAAGGAGGAATTACCTAGAATTGCATTAAATGAAATGTGTAAAGTTTCTTCGTGTAGATTTATATATTTGGAAACATCAAACCTATTATTTACATTAGACAAATTTCTTCACTAGACAAAGAGGGTGCAAATACTAAGATAGACTGTATATCCTCCTTAAGAATATATAACTAAGGGAACATCAAAAGTTACATGGTTTTTCTTCATAAATACATATCAAGTCCTTTATAAAAGGTACAGAATGAATGTCTACACCTAATACAATAAATATGTTTTCATCCTTCGAAACCCCACAAATGTTAGAAAACAAACTCTTTATATAACGCGTGCAAACAACACATTCCCCATCGAGAAGAATACTTTAACGAATACTTGAAGCAACAACTGTTGAGCAAGTTGGTAATCGTTCCTGGTCTCGTTTACCCTTGTTCGATTTGCGCGCAACCCTCTAGTGAGACGAAATTTCTGATCCTTACCTGATGAAAGTCGAATCTGCCGCAGGACTGGAGGGTCTTGGTGAGGAACTCGCGGTGGAGGCGGTATTGGTCTCCTCCACGTCCATCATTATTCATACCGACGATGACAAGTCAGTGTGAACGTTGGAAATAACGGAGAATTATTTGAACGACAGCAACGAGAATGAGAATGGGAGGGATGGCGAACGGAGGATGGCTGATTTGTGAGGCCCGCCGGCCCTCTCGACGTCCGATCCCGTGGGGACAGAAACCATAAAGTCGGGGAGCTAGACAAGGGGTTGGGGGTTAGTTTCGAGCGCCCGTCCACGAGCGCGGACTTACGGAAAACAACTGACAATCCACCTTACCCCTACCGTCAGCAACCATCGTGCGACGCCTGCAAACCTGCGCCGCCGCCACCTGCCTCGCAGCAATGTAAACAAAGCGCAGGCGTAGCATCGCTAATGCGCTTTCAATGCGCCCCTAAAGGGGGTGTTCTAGTTTGAACTAGTGAAAATTAACAGATTTTCTAGTATTTCTTTTGTCGAAATGTTAAAGAATATTGAAACAAAACTTACCCATAACATTAAGTATTGCTAGAACTACTTGTACGTATTTTTTTTCATTGACAATTGTTTTACGATACATATGAAACATGGGCTCAACGATGCGTAGCTCTCGTAACAGGTTCGCGCTGCGTGCGCGTTTTCGTTCCAGATTAGGCATTTGAAACAAATCAGACTTATAAATCTTAAATATGTGCTATATGATAAAATTGGCATATTTGACGACATACAACTTGAAACATGCTTCGCGTATCAACGAATATACTCAATTTTTACGGGATACATTGTAATGGCCATCAGGTAGAGACGTAGATTGTGTACATTTATTGTAATGGATCATTAGACAGGGTATCGTTAATTAAGGTCTTAATATATTGCGTTTATTATAAATTAAATATTTTTATTTATTTTTTTTTTTTAAACATCCGATACAGTTTTTTCTTTTGAGGAATGATAATGTCGAGCAAATGTTTCGCCTACAAGTAGTGGAAACACCAGAGTTGCTTCTGCATAAATCTAGAATATTAATAAATAATACTAAAATGTATTATTCAATTTAAATACTTGATTCAAATTTAAAGGAGTATTTACTTTCACTGGTTTCGCATCTACGCGAATTTTGCCCCACGAAACGGCTTCATCCGGACGTGCACCGCTATCGCTTCCATCAAATTCCGAAGACGTATTTATAAATACGGCATAGTCAGCACCATTCCTCTGAAACAAAATTTATTTTTGATCAATCAATTATCAATTTTCTTTTAATTTTCTTGTTACCATTAAATTTGCATTACAAATATGATGTTTTATAACACCACCTCCTACAATAATCATTCCACTTTTTACTGCTTTCATTGCCATTGTATTCAAACGTCTGAGATCTGCAATGTAATAATAGAAAAGTAACCTTATTATAACTGTTCAGCATACCAGATGCTAAAAAAGAAAATTTTAATATGTAATAGATTGAGACCTGATAGTATGTCTATGACAAGTCCTGGGTTTTTAAATGAATGGAAATACATCATGTCACCAAGACTGCCATCAGTTAGAGCTGGACTAAAAACTGGAATTTTATTTTTTGCAGCCCAGTAATAAATTGAATTCTCATTATTAATTTCTTCACCTAACCTAGCTATTACTTTTGATGGTGTCCATAGGGTACCCTAAAAACCATACTCTACCATAATCCTTTATGAAAATGTGAGTAGCTAATTCTACTCTTTTATATACATACCTTTTCTTTTTGCTCTGCCAACATTGCATCTAATTTAGGTATTACCCAATCTTCAAACAAGCAGTAATTATTGTTAGGTACTAATAAGTTTCCTATTCTATTCATTCCAAGCCCTCGTAGACGTTTTCCATCTAAATGAAAATCTCCAATGTATGTTGGTGCTAAACATTTTATCAAATCTTCCTCTACACCACCTGCTGTAGTAACAATACAATCCACCTAAAATGTAAATATTACTCTAGGTTAAATCAAAACTAAAAATATTTTTAAATGTTTACACTAACCATTTTATGTTGTACAAGAAACCTTATAGTCTCTCGAACTCCACAAGAGGCCATATTAGATGTGTATCCCAAAAATATTGTACATGAAGACTTTCTTCTAATGAATTCATCATTTTCTAGTATGTCAATTTGATCATCATCGAGAGGAATATTTCGAGCATTTATCATTTTTTGAATTTCATCTACTGCTAAACCAAAATTCCTTGCTTGGAATCCAGAATATTTATATGTTTGCAAGAGAGCATGATAATCTATTCCCTTGTTCCAGTCATATCCTAAAATATATTTTCATTTTGCTGATTGGTTGTGTATACTTTTTGTTTTTGCATTGAAGAATTAGAATTCATAATTTTTTTAGTTTCTCTGTATTATAAAATAGTTGAAAACCTTTCACTGTAGGTGTTCCAGCTGGCAGTTGAGAACTATGTACCAATACAGCATCCTTGACATGTTTTAGGACATCATTATCAGAATCTTCTTTAAGATCATTCATTTTTTAATTAATTGTATACTTTCTTTTATAACCATAAAATCTTTCCCATTAACATCTGATATGTCAACTGTTGTTGCGTGACACGTGACAGCATTACCATAAAATATCACAGTGCGTTTTCAACTTTGTAGATGGACGATAAACACTGCGAACACTGACGCAACGAAGACACGGCCATCTAACGGGAATATTGCAGTCACAAAAATAAGTTTCGCATCTCGTAATTTCTGTAGACTTATTTGCGAACACGTCAGAATTTAACGATACGTCTGCATACGTCCGTAACATTGGTCAGTGGAGGAACGTGAATAAAAATGGCGAATTTCTGCGTGTGAAAACGATCGTCAACAGAGTTGACAGAAAGTGATGAAATTGGCTAATGTCAAACGTGACAACGTAATGCACGAGAAATGTTCTCTCTAGTCCGCGCCGTTTCGGTGCGTTTTGTGTGATCGGTCAGAGCGCTTCGTAACAAGTATTTAATAAAGTGAAAAATCAACGGGAAGGAAAAAAAAGAGGGGAACTAGGAGGCCCAGGTGGTTGCGAAACGTCACACAGATCACAACACGGAACGGACCACTTCAAGGCAAGACGTTCCACTTCGTTCTCAGTGCGAGCTTCGATACGTAAAAATAGTGATAATGCAAACGACCCGTGTATCACAGAGTTCAGCAGTTCTACGCCGCGGAGTCGTGATGACCTGATTCACTTTTGTCGCTCTAAAAGTGTATTTTGATCTTGAAATCGTGTCTTGTGCAAGGTTATGTGCAGTTATGAGTCTGACATTTGGATCCCTTACGAACGTTCATCAAGTCGGATCATTTAACCGTATTCGGGAATCAGTGCGACGTGCAGTCACTATTAATTTTGAACCGCGTAAAAAAAGTGCGGTTTGCGTATTTTAATGATGCCAATTCGTTCGAATAATTTATTGAAGCGTTCCCCCTCCCTTGAATACTGCTCGAAGTAAAATCGGAATAGAAACTGTTGAGAGTTGAGTTTCATGATTTCGTTTCTGTACAATATTTACGCAATTGTAGGAATACGGGCCGTATGAGTCCGCAATAATTAATATTTCCTTTCATTCTATTGTTGTGCAACAACATTTTCCGACGTGTCATTCTTACTTGGTAATATTAGCTCTTTACTTGGCAAAATGCCTAAAAATAGTCGAGATATGTGTTGTATTGTGAAAAATGTAGAATACAATTTCAAGAAAACGCTTGAACTATAACGATAGAGTTTAACAAGTAAATGATAATTATTTTGAACTTTTGCATTGTAGGTATACAAAATGAGTCAAATAGAAATGGATCAAGAAACAGTATACGGGACTCATGAAGACAGCCATGTGGTTATGTCTGAGAAAGTTCAGAGCTTGGCTGGTAGTATTTATCAGGAATTTGAGAAGATGATAGCTCGTTATGATCATGATGTGGTCAAGGACCTAATGCCTCTTCTAGTCAATGTTCTAGAATGTCTAGACATATCTTATACAGAAAATCAAGAACGCGAAGTTGAATTAGAATTATTAAGGGAAGACAACGAACAATTGGTTACACAATATGAAAGGGAAAAACAATTACGAAAAACATCTGATCAGGTATTATGATTTTGATGGATACAATATGTAATCATCCTTAAAGAAAAATGATGCTCATGTTTTTCCAACTAGAAACTGCTTGAGCTAGAAGATGCTGCAGAAGATGAAAGAAAAGAACTTTTAGCAAAAATTGATAGTTTGGAATCAATAGCAAGGATGTTGGAATTGAAGACAAAGAATTCACATGATCACGGTACAAATGTCAATGGCACTACCAGTCCATTCCTTCACAGAACATCCCTCTACAGTAGAGTAGATTGATTTTTTTTTATTGTTTTCTCGTCATTTAATTGTTCAGTGGGTTAAGTTTGATTGGACATACTGGGATATAGAGAGTTTGCATGCATCTTTATACAATTTTGGTTTATTATTAAGTGCTTTATTTATTTGTATATTTAACACGGTGGATGATTTACTTTTATATGTGTATTCTATTAAAATTTAAGTATATTTATATAGTTGTACATGTAGGTTTAGAGTGTGTTCTGTCATAATTAATCCAATTAACGCAATTAAATGGATATAATGTGTATAGTATATCATTTCTTGTATTTGTTTAGTCGTTCGTCTTGAAGAAAAAGAGGCGGAACTAAAACGAGAATATACCCGGCTGCATGAGAGATACACGGAATTATTTAAAACGCATGTAGATTATATGGAAAGAACAAAAATGTTAGTTGGAAGCACGGAAAGATTAGAAAATGCAACCAGTGGTCGTGGTCCATCTCGTTTACCATCTCTTGGGCTGGCTCATATGTCTAGAAGTTCAGGGCCATTAAGTTATGGTTTTCAGAGTTTGGAAGCTAGTATTAATGCAGAAGAGATTCAAGAAGATAGTCCACCAAATGCTGCCAATTTAAGAACTGAAATGTTGGATAGCAGTAGTGAAGCTGCTATAGAAACTTCTGATAAGAGTCAGTTAACGGATAAACCAGCACAAGCAAACAAAACAACAGCCATTTCTAGACGTATGTTATTAATTATATAATGTTTATTTAATAATCATAACTCAATATTCATATAGCATTTTACTGTTTAACTTACAGATGAGAGTCCAGAAACTGAAATACATCCGCTATTGGTTACACCTACGTCACCAACGATAGTAGAAAAATTAGCTACCACTCCAAGTGGAAGATCTAGAACAGAACGAGAGCAACGAAGTGCCAATACATTGTACCAGGAACTCAGTTTTCAGGATGCTGATGCGTTAGGTGAAATGGACGAAGGAGCAGACATCACTGGTAATTATTTATAACAATTTACGAATTGCGTTAAAATGTCTTTTTAAATTAATACCGCGTCCTTAAAATCTTAGGTAGTTGGGTTCATCCCGGAGAGTACGCATCGTCGGGTATGTCTCATAAAATAACCAAAAATTCACGAAAATACATCATTACTTCATTAATTCTTCGAGTTCTAAAATTTGTACTATTATGTGTGTAATCATTGACGAATCGAATAGTACAATTCTCGTTTTGTGTTAAAACAAGCATGATCCACGTCCCTGCACTAACAGTGATGAGATTAATTTTCAAAACAGCACGTAATCGCTTAAACATTGGAACTCTGAGGGTTAATATCATAATTACAATTGTGCAGTATTAACTCTTTGGATGACAGCGAGCCGATTTGTCGGCCCTCGGTTCGTAAGCGAAGAATACCACGGGTCGATGCAGAGGCTCCAGGTATCAGCTAATCGTATCGGCCTGTGGAACTCTTCGAAGATACCACACAGATCGACCTGGCATCTAAAGGGTTGACAAAGTACAATGATAATCTACAAGATGTCCTGCAATGAATAATGCAACCAAGAAGAAACTGACTTTACATGACAGAATAAGTTAAAAATGCAGAATAAAATATTTATGCGTACAAATTTCAGAATTAAAACGAATGCTTGTATTTTAAAGAAATTAGTGTCATCCGAAATGATCGCAACTGCGCTAACCATGTTAGGGTCAGTGCTGATAAATTTGAGGTTATGAACCGATTTCGCCATTATTTTTATTGTACAGTTACAACTTATTTCAGCATCTAGGATTATTTGCTTTTCGTTAGTATCACTCCTTACAGGACACTGTATAGATAAGTGTAAAAATATATTCGTGCTTAAGTTACTGTTAAGTTGTATCACACAGGAAATAATATTAATATATTTTTGTTTTTTCATTGTTTGCCTTCTCACATCTGCTGGGTATTGACATACTTTGACTAAATAATTGCATGATATAAATAATTCTTCATGCAGTCAATGACAACTTTTTTGGTAAGATATCGCTGATATTGTATTATATATTATAACTTACTATGTTAATGAAACCATGTTACTGATAAAGTTACTTCAATTTATCATAAATAACGAATAAAATAAAATAATCATGCTTTCCTAAATAAACTTAAAGAAGTATGTTTAATTAGGAATGGGCAAAGAAGTGGAGAACCTTATTATGGAAAATAATGAACTTTTGGCCACAAAGTTAGTATTGCATTACATTAATATGTAATGAATACTATTTTCATATACTTACCTTTACATTGTCTCGTATTTCAGAAATGCGCTCAACATTGTTAAAGATGACTTAATCATCAAAGTGGATGAGTTAACAAGGTAGAATAAAAAATTAATTTTGACATATTTTTGTCAATAATTAGTGTCGTCATGTGTAGGATAATATATCTTTCAGCGAGCAAGAAATATTACGGGAAGAAGTTCGGGGTTTGCAACAAGCTAGGGAACGTTCACGGCAAAAAATCGCTACCCTTGAAGAAGAATTAAAAAAAGTTAAAGAAGAAGCAGAAGCAGCAGCAAAAGCAGCCAAGAGCGATGACGAGGAGGATGTGCCATTGGCACAAAGAAAAAGGTTTACAAGAGTAGAAATGGCCAGAGTACTCATGGAAAGAAACCAGTATAAGGAACGATTCATGGAACTTCAAGAAGCCGTTAGATGGACAGAAATGATAAGAGCCAGCAAGACTGATCCTGCCAGTATATCAGAGGGAAAAGGTTCGGTGTGGAAGTTGTTAGTATCACTTATACAAAAAGAAAATCCAACATTAGGTTAGATCATAATTTCAATGTTTTCTTTCGCTTGCAGTTTTAGTAGTCTCTTCACAAGCCCTGGAGATCGGGGAGCCTTGGTTCGAGGACCACACACATTACCACACATTAGATACAGCGCGCCAACAAATCAAGTCGTTCCCGCATCACCTTTGGATACCATGCGTAGACGTATGGTGAAAGGTCGCCATGAGTTTTTCGACCAGGGAGACACCATGTGAGAAATCAATCAAATTCTATACACGCACGTAGATATTATGTCAATGCGACACTAAAGCCTGCCAAATTTTGATCAATTTTCTAAATAGGGACTCGTTTCCTTTTTATCACTATGATCTTTTTTTTTTAAACTGCAGTCTCACAATAATGTGATCGATTTACTACGAAAGATTTTATAAAGATTTTACGTATACGTTAATTTTAATATTTTCTCAAAACTATTGCAACAACAAAATGTGCTTTACGTTTCCTTTATGGGTCCGAATTTTAAATACTTGACATTTTATAATCTTTGAATCGACCTGATATTTGCAGATTTGAGTCCTCTTTGGTCAGTTGGGATCCATAATCTTTTGTCGTGACTCTCAATTACTCTTGATCGTTCTTAAGAGATGTGAGTCATTTCTAAATAATTTGTTGCCTGAGCGATTTCCGAATGTGATGGTCTTTAACAAATTGTCGGTCCTATTCCTCTGTTACTTGCCAATTCTTAAAAGAGATTATGGGTGTATATTTTACGCGCAATATTGTAATGAGAGATTAAAATAGAATTACGGTTCATTGCACACGGACAAAAACTTTCTCCTTTTGACAATCATGCTTTTATTAGTACATCTATTTTTAGTCTTATTTTCCATACATAGAGAAAATTGTACATTATTATCTGTATATTGGAACGGAACGTTGTTTTATATATTATAATATACAATGAGTCTACTAATGGTAGACTACCACTTACAGTAGTGGTTATACATTTGATTACAGTAATTACTTACTAGTTTAATGAAGTAAATTATCTGTTATCTTTGCAAAGTCATGCTTGAGAAGCAATAGTTTTGTATATAAAAGTTTGTACATTTTTGGAAGAAGAATAATATATGATCATTATTGATCAACCAATAAACGAAATTTTGACTATGTTATAAACTTGGCTTTTATTTCACTCTTGCTCTGCGCTTTGATTTTTCGTTCGGGTTTCATCTTTGCCTCTCCTTCGTGGCGTTGTCAAGAGATACCTGGTTTTTCTGGTTTTCGGTGGGGTGCTTATTGGCCAACAGGTAAATCTGTTCTGCACTATGTCTAACATTCTGCTTCTAAACCTGGATAAAAATTTCGTTGCGCAAGTAATAATGAAGCTGAACATTAAATATGGTGGAATTAACAGTCAGATTAAGACTTCATTAAATCGAAGAGTGTGTCCAGTGATCAAGAAAGAAAAAAAGTCTTCGTAGGAACAAATGGTTGAACAAACAACAGAGTGTCCCAGTAAATTTACTAACTTCTACAATTAAAAATTTTATTTCGATCGCGCATATATTCGAAATATTCGATAGCTAATTTACGTTTTATACATCTTTACAGATCGTCCGAAAAACTTGTAGCTAGACGTGCAAACGAACGAAAAGAGCAATATCGGAAAGTTCGCGCTCATGTTAGAAAGGAAGATGGACGATTGCAAGCTTATGGCTGGAGTTTACCAGGCAAACCAAGTGCTCCAGTTAGGCAACCCGTACCTGTGCCGGTTTATTGCAGACCTTTGCAGGAATCAGAACCTGGGATGAAGGTACATCTGATATGTTGCTAAATATAAACAGAAACTTGTTATATATTACAATCGCCTTCACATTTTACTGTTTAGATATGGTGCGGCGCTGGCGTGAATCTAAGCGGTGGTAAAACACGCGACGGTGGTTGCATGGTTGGAGGGAGCGTGTTTTATGCCGCAGAAGCTCGAGAAGTAAGTACTAATTCAAAAACTGATGCTGAAGATGCTATTGAACATTTGGATAAGGAGCTGCAAGAAAGTGAAAATCAGAGAGTAGAGGCAGAACATTTACAACAACAACTAAGTTCGTTGGTTTGGATCTGCACATCGACACAAAAGATGTCGAAAGTTACTGTGATAGATGCTAACAATCCAGCCGAAATTTTGGATGTTTTTAATGTATGCCAAGGACATTTACTTTGCATTGCGAGTGTACTTGGAGCCGAGGAGAGTGATTATGCTCAAACCGTTAGCGAAGACGTAGTTCGAACTGCGAATGGGGTAACCGATAACGATGGTCACGAAGTAAATGCGAGTTCAAGTGCTGGACAAAATAACCAGAAAAGTAAACAGGAAACTCAAACCTCGTCTGAGAAGAAAACAGAACCGGATAGTGTCTCTGAAGACCAGAACAACGAAAATCTTGAGAAGTCGGATGACACTAATCAGAATACAACTACCGAGCCACAAAGTTTAGAAAGTGTAGACAGTGAAACGTCAAATCTCGGCAAAGTGCATTTTGTTAAAGTTAACCCAGAAACACCCTCCTCCCGGATGAAGGAAGACGAGAGTACAAATGAAGAAAGGCAAAGTGACGAAGTTGAAGAAGGTACTCCTATAGAAAAAATGTCTTCGATACAGCCGACAATGTGGCTTGGCGCTCAAAATGGTGCAGTGTTCGTTCATTCGGGTGTGGCTAACTGGTCGGTCTGTTTGCATTCTGTTGTATTGAAGGATGCCGCGCTGGCTATTGTGTACGTAGTTTTGTTACGTATTAGTGTAATTGCTATTTCAGATTAACATTTAACACCAAATTTTGTTTCACATTGTTCCTGTAGACATATACAAGGTCGAGTTCTTGTCGCTCTTGCCGATGGAACTGTTGCATTATTTAAAAGAGGTGCGGACGGACAATGGGATCTATCTCAATATCATGTGATTACCTTGGGTAGCCCACAACATTCAATCAGGTGCATGACTGCTGTTAGTGGCAAAACTGTATGGTGCGGTTATAGAAATAAGATTCACGTAATAGATCCAGTTTCCATGACTGTCGAGGTATTCATACTTCTGTGCATATATGTATCTCTCTTAATATTTTCTTCAAAATTAAACGCTATTGTAAATCACGTATAAAATAAATTTTCAGTGCACTGTAGATGCTCACCCCCGTCGAGAATCGCAAGTGAGACAGTTAGCTTGGTTGGGTGAAGGAGTCTGGGTCAGCATTAGATTAGACTCGACGCTAAGACTCTATCACGCTCATACTTATCAACATCTTCAAGATGTCGATATCGAGCCTTACGTTAGCAAAATGCTTGGGACTGGGAAGCTTGGCTTTTCTTTTGTAAGAATTACCGCGTTACTCATTTCGTCGAATAGGCTGTGGATTGGCACTGGAAACGGTGTGATAATTTCTGTTCCTTTATCTGAAAGTAAGTAAAGAGTCAGCGCAACGAATACATAACCTCAAAAAAAAAACAAAATTACTATACATAAAATACGTTCGTAAAATAGGTGCTGGTGGTTCAATGGCGGTGTCCCGAATTCAAGCAGGAAGTGGTAAAAGTGATGCACCAGGGATGGGTGTCAGAATTTTTGCGTCAGACCGTGGTGTTACGCCTGGAAGTTTTATACCTTATTGCAGTATGGCTCATGCACAACTTAGTTTTCATGGACATAGAGATGCAGTTAAAATGTTCGTTGCTGTACCTGGTACGTCTACTAATAAATTTGGATATCTTGTGAAAGAATATAACGGTAAAAATAACCAATCAACTGTTTTTAATGATTACAGGTCACGGTGGACAGAGTGCCGTGTCTGATGGTTCTCAACCAGCCATGCTTGTCCTTTCAGGAGGTGAAGGATACATCGACTTCAGAGTTGGTAAGTGAATGTATTAATAAATAATTTATCAATGTAGATATATTTCATTAATCATCTGTTTGAAATCTTTAACAGCAGGAAAAATCAAACTCAATATTTATTTTTAGTTTCGTAATAATTGTACTAAATGATAAACTATGTATTACACACATTATTATTGCTGCTATGAATAGAATACCGTCAACTTGAATGCTTTGCATATCATTTTGTTAACGTTACAAAAAGAGTCTATTCAAATATTGTTTTATACGATTATGGTACTTCCAGTAGATGAGGAGGAAGACGAGAGTGACGTGGCGACTCATCTGATTGTATGGCAGTTGGTCAGGTATGCCCCCAGAGAGAAGTGAAAAGCGGTTAATGGGTCTTTACTTCGGTTTATATCAGTGTTTGTGCGATTGAATGGATAATTCTTTACGTTACTGTTCAATGAATCGTATATACTAACTACTGAATGTTTTGTGCACGGTGTAATGAAATTCAACTAACATGTCTACAAGTAGTTAGATACATCTCTAACCTGACATTAAAAATAATTTATATGTTGCTCTCGTCTATCTATAAATCAATCGGTATACAAAATGTACACGCGCATATGTACAGAATTTCTAATTACATTCGTTATCCCAGGTTGGAAGATCAAAAATCAATCTAAAATTGTTCGCTTTTGTACAGCATAAACCTTCATAATCTTCATTAATACAAAGAACTATGTCTGCACTTTCGTTTCTCGAAGCAGCTACACACGGTACCATTATCTGCTTTCTTCATTCTCTGGGGGTTGGGAATTTCCAGCTGACATGCATCGTACTGTACAAAGGGCAACTTCTTTCCTTATTGTGAATCAATCGTGATCATTATGTTTATCGTATCGATAAACATTTGTTTCGCTAGGTGATGGTGAAGAAACGGAAGACAGCATGGAGCGATCCAACAGCGCTGTTGCTGTGAACGCTGAGGAACACGGAGAACAGAGCCATTTGATAGTGTGGCAAGTTCAGTGTCCTGTACAAGTGTCTATGAATGGCTAGCCTACGTACTTTGAAAGTATGCCGATCCCGCTGTTTGGTTCAGCTTGAAGTTCTACACGCGGATCAAGAATTCGAGTGATTCCCGTTGTGGTCCGACAAGGCATTAATAAATCGGACTTATCTTCTGGCCGGGTGAGTTTCGCCCCGCTGAACTAATGTTCTATTTAATTATATCTATGTAATGATTGTAGCGAATTACGCGAAAGACTCCACGAATAATTGGAATATTCTGTAACGGCGAAATCAGTACGATTTCTCGGACGTACTAGGGATCATTTTCAACATTTGCGCGATATTAAGCTTTCTCGGAGTTTCTTGCTAAGTAACATCAATGAGAAACTAATTTCTTAGATACTCGGTATATATCGAAGAAATATTTTTTTTTCCTATTTAAATTAAAAAGATATAATTAGAATCTCTGATCTCAACGCTTATAACCTTTAGCTTCTACTTAAAATGCGCCCTGTAAAGTAATTATCGGTATACTAATTCGCTCTTGCGCAACGGTAACGTAATTTATAAAGAAATGATTTTAATGATCCTGCATGATTTCATGCATTGCCAGATGTATAGTTCTGGCGTTTTAATCGGAAAACAGCGTTCATCCTGATGTACGTACTGCACACCGTACGCAGACATTTTTGAATCGTTTCGGAGTGAGTCCTGATAAAAGAGTGCTGGGAAAATAGCGTTACATTTCCGCCAATCAATGTGATAACCGATAAAGATACGGAAGAATGAGTTCTACAGCTCCCGTGACGTTTGCTACCTAGCTGCATTAATATCTCGATTACCATCAAAGGTAGAGTAACCTTTACACATGTGCAGGTATGAAAGGTGCAACCGACTCGGGCAGTATTTAAGCATAATATATATTGTACATTGTTTCGGTTAGAGAGTATTTTATTTTCCAGACCTAAGTGGTTTAATTTGCGTCCAATATATACATATACGGAGTGTAATATATTTTTTATGTTCTGCTATCGATGATCTATCGTTTACTAATCATGTTCGATCGCGTGCGTCCGCTTTCTTCAGGCTCATCGACAGTCCCAAAGAGCCCCGGAATGAATTTCTGTACATATTAATAGTGAGATGTTTATAGCGCATCATGTAGATTTGTAATTTATGTTTTCGTCGACGAACGAAATAGAAGCGATTCTTACGTCTATTTCTTTGTCGTCGTTCGCTGCAACTTTGTTTTTCCGTCAGCACACTCCCCTAACTACCAAAGACGAGGAACGACTTTTAATTGTATTCTTTGTACGATTTATAGCGAGATGGTTTTAAGTTGCGCGTCTAGACCGATGTAACGATTTTGACTAGAAACAAACTTCTTGCATTCGAGATTTCGAGAGAGTTGCCGACACTCGGGCTTGCGAAACTTTTGTAAATTCTTATGTTAAGCGACAAAACTGGTGAAATTCAAGATGTGCATGTTGTGTCAGGGCTGCGCATTATTATGCGAGCTCGCTTTCGGTGTCGAGCTCGGAATTGTACCTGGCTCATGATGAAGCTGTAATGGCGTTAATAAAGAAAGTTGCGAAACAGAATGACCCGAATTCTATTTTTCTACCGCAAGCAATTCTTATCACAAGGGGATCGTATTTATAGTTTAATATTATATTATTTGAGCATTCGTTCCATTTCATGGACCAAGAAATGGTATCAGGTGGCGGACAGTGGAGCAGTGCCTAGTGTAGACGACTATCACGCGGGAATTTTTCAAGGTATGGCTAAGAAAAAATGTATCGAAAGCTTGTGGCTTATATAATGTAAAAAAACATATCTAACGGAAAAGAGGAGTGCAATATGTGCATACCTGCACATGCACTTGAAAAATAAACAACGAACGACGGAATGATATTGCTCCTATGCCAAATAATAAAGAGTTCCTATTTATTACATAAATTATAAGTATGGGATCGTATTTTCAGTTTGATATTATATTCTTAGGGGATGCATTCCATTTCATGGACCACAAATTGGTATCGCCATCTCGCGGTAGGAACAGAACTAATTTTAGGTAAGATAGCTTGGAACAGAACCCTCGGAAGTTTTGCTCTAGTGACGCCATCAGTGGGAAAACGCCCAAGTTTGTAGTGAAAATAGTTCCCGCCGTTTTTATAAGATGGCGCCACCGACACCTTTCAATTAATTATCCTTTTTTTCTGTTTTAAATACATAATTAATACGAATCTTTGCTTTATAACACTTTAATATATTATTTCAATATATGGATTAAACATATATCTACTTTTACGTAAATATCTAGGTCTGTAAATTTAGACTGCGAACATATAATAACTATTTGTAATAAATGTAACGTAAACACATTTTCCCTAAAAATAGCTTCAATTTAAATAAAATAATGAATGTATAAAGTAAAGACATGATAAGAGCTAGTGTTAATATGCAAAATTTATCATTTTTATGAACGGTTATCTAATACAGCAACCCTTAAATCGCGGGGCGCCATCTAGCAGCAATACCGAGAACTATTTTCACTACAAACTTGGGCGTTTTCCCACCGATGGCGCCACTAGAGCAAAACTTCCGAGGGTTCTGTTCCAAGCTATCTTACCTAAAATTAGTTCTGTTCCTACCGCGAGATGGCGATACCAATTTGTGGTCCATGAAATGGAATGCATCCCCTAAGAATATAATATCAAACTAAACGTACGATCCCATAATTATAATTTATGTAATAAATAGGAACCCCTCTAACTATAAATTATACGATAAATACGACACCCTAATTATAAGACTCAAAAGATATTATTAGGATAAGAAGACATTGTATATAACTGAACATGCAACGAATATAAACAACTTCACATGTACAATCTATAATATTAAATGTACCAATGTATCCGCAAGGATCTAAGGCATATCAATAAAAAAAAGAAAGCCTCTCCACAAGAAAGCCGTGCAGAACGTGGCTGCTGAAAATACAGCATTCGGTGGGCACTTGATGCGCAACTCATCCTTCGCTAAAAGTAAACCGCATGCGCGATAGATCCATGTACTGTCATAATCAAAAGTTACTTTACTGTCGTACTATTTGCACTGTGCTTGGAAGGGCGGTATTTCGACATTTTCGTGGCTTAATTTTTAGAAAGAACTGAACCACAAGAACAGGACTGGCTAGAAATTTATCCTCTTCCTCAGGCTCAGAGGCCGTTTCAGTATTAATATAGTTCAGTGGCGTAACCATCGTCCATTCGATACATCGATATATCGAAGGCGGGAAAAATTCAAACGCTCGAAGGAGCGCGCGCAACGAGGACGGATAATAAAAAATTGTCGAGATAGAACGAAACAAGGGGACGATAGTGTTCCCATTGTAGTATGGTGTTTACCAGCGGAGTGTCGGTTACGTGGTCGACAGGAAACAGGAACGGAATTCTTTCGAGCCGAGAATAGCATTAAGGGAGGCGGAGATCGCGTTTCGTTAGTAGTCAGTACGGTGAGGAGCGATCGACCAGTGAAGAGCCGGGATAAAATCGGGACGACAGCCAACAAGGCGACAAGCAATTATAGAATTGGATTGGATCGAGGAGTTCGAGGAGGCCCGCGACGCCGGTTTCGTTTTATTTTAGCTTAGCTTTCGAAGGCATCCGGTTGTGCATTCTCATAGCGGATCATCGCTACGATCACTAAGTGAGTGTTGTCCCCCTTTTTAAAACTACGATTGGTTATTTCCCTTGCCCGTTGCTCGCTATTAAATAAAACGTTGTTCGTCGACGAGCAACGAATGCGTCGCGAGGCGCTCGTTACGCGCGTCGGATTCATTTAATATCGCCGAACGACAGAGGGTGAAGTAAGTACTCACTATAACACAGTGATACCTCGATTCGGTGGATTCCTCGTTTATTGGATTCGAGATCTAACGGATCTAGCAGGATTCCGTGGTGTCGTCTCTCAGTTCCATTTTCTCTACGATGTTACTTTAGAGGTGGAGAATTTTTTGAAAACTGTGTCACACGAAACTGTACCGAGAGTTGGAGGTAATGTCCCTCGATGGAATTCAGATTTAGTGACCAAAATTTCTGGAAATGATTATTTTAAATAGTTGATTAATCAGTAGTGTTACTATCGTGAAAATGCGATTAATGGACGAACGAACAAATTTCTCTTGTATCGGCTCAGATACGTTCTTCTCAAGTGGTGTCATTTTGCTGATTTTAATGCTTCAACTGTTGCGAGTTGCTTCCAGACGCGCCGTGAATGATCCTTTTGCGCCGTGTGTTGCAACATGACATACAACCTATGTTTACAGCTCTGTGTGTGCGTGAACCATGTACAATTCTCGTATATTTCTTCGTGGCCCCTAATCACCTCGATTCTGCAATAGGACATTAGAAAATATCACGAAGGAAATTTTCTTTTTGTTCAAAAGTGTCTTGATTTTTCATTATGTAATGAGGGAATTGAACACTACGCCGATTAGCAAATCTAATTTTGCTGCGACTTAAATTCTGCATCTTTAAACGTGTTCTTCGAACGTGTCTCGACAGATTTTTCGAAAATTTTGGAAATTACTAGCTACTTGAAAAATAACTCAATCTTTTTCTCATGAAACAAAACCAAATGAAAATGATTGTATTCTTTGCAATTGTTTTGAATAAACGTAGGTTCTTAATGGCAGGGTCGAATTGGAAAATTTAAAGAAATGGGAGTATGAGCTTGTCTGAGATTGCCTGTCCTCTTTACGAGCTATTTTAAAAAATTGGTGACGTTTTAAAATTAGACGTATTAGACCTAATGCATTAGGCTGTTCCAAGTTTCTTTCTCGACTTAGACTCAGCTGTTTTGTTTGGTAGTGTTTATATAAACAATCTCATCTTTTAGATGTTGCTGTTATCCTTTCTAGTCATTGTTTAACTTTCGTTAAGGACATTTAATTCGCATTGAAAAATTGCTCGCGCCATTTCGTGCGCTTTTCAATAAAACATACGTTTACGTTGCTTTCTTTGTGCACCTAAACTCTATTCTAATATCGTTGTTAATGAATCATCGAAATCCGACAGATTCAAAAAGCCGACGAGGATCAACCGATAAAAGGGGAGAGAAACACCGATCGTCATCATGGAGGCGATTAAGAAGAAAATTGCGGCGCTGAAGATGGAGATGGACGCCGCGAACGAGAAGGTGGAGGCGAACGAGACCAAGGCGAGATCGGAGGACTTTCGAGCGGATAAGTTATTCGACGAGGTGAGGGATCTACAGAAGAAACTGGCCCAACTCGAGCGGGACTACGTGGTTGCCAAGGCCAATTTGGAGCAGTCCACCGCCGATCTGGAGCAATGCGAGAAATCTTACTCCAGGGTGCGCAGAGATTCTTAACAAACCTATCGAACGTTTCCCCTTAAACGTTTGTGCGATTAATTAATTGCGTTCGTAGGCAGAGCAAGACCGGACCACGTTGACGAAGAGAGTGCAAGAAATCGAAGCGTCGCTCACGAAGAAGGAAGAGCTGCGTCTTTCTGCTCAGCTGAAGCTTGGACGTGCGTCAGAACTCAACGATGATGCGCGGAGGTTCGTATCGAGATTGAAATTTTTTAATTAGGATTATGTTTTTATATATACTTTTTATTATGTGTCGTGGACTGTATCCGCATATGAAAATCACGTTTCTTTCGCTTCTTTCTCTATACTTTTTAATAATTGTAATCGTTAACAAAATCAGTTATTGTTTATTAGGCATAGACTCGAGTTTACAAAGTAAATATGTCTTCACCGAGCTTTCTGTCGTAAGAGAAAGAATGGTTTCATGAAACTAAAGTAATTGCAAATATAAAATATTCGAGAACATCGCAATTTGAGAAAATTCATAGATTATAGAAAATGTATGTAAGAGAAACATTCGAACTAAACAATTCTGACTTAAATGAAACTTTGTGCGAATGGAAAACATATTGAAGTATACGAAGAACAACTTCTTCTTCTTCTTCTTCTTATAATCTTATAATATGTACTTGCTTCGTTACTGGACTTGTGTTCTGCACGTAAAACTGCGACTGTAAATGCAAACGAAAAATTGTCCTCGTTCGCAGAATGTGCAAAGTGTTGGAGGACAGAAGTCGGCTGGACGAGGAGCGCATGGAGAAGCTGATGCAGGAGCTGAAGGACGCCAGACTGATCGCTGAAGACGCGGACGCCAAGTCCGACGAAATATCCAAGAAACTGCAATTCGTTGAAGAGGAATTGGAAGGGGCCGAGGAAAGAGTGAAAACCAGCGAGGCGTTTGTATAATTTCGTTACACTAATCTTTCCAGTAGCACCCGGTGATACTTTGCTTATGCGTATGAACGTTTCCACAGGAAAATCATCGAACGAGAGGACGAGCTGTTCATCGTGCAGAATATTGTCAAGTCCTTAGAAGTGTCCGAGGAAAAGGTAATTGACAAGGATAAGAATGCTTTCGGTCTCTATATGAAATGCAACGTTCTCCAATTTATCCTCTAGAACACAAATAAACAGGACTCTGTTGTTATTCAAACTCGTGGAGCATGAAAGACAAGAACGCGTCGATATTTCGTAAAACATCGAGTCTACAGAAAATTTGTGTAGAACATAAAAGTTTCTAAATTAAATTTCCGATAACTTTTCTTCTAAACATTTTTGCTATAAATGCCGTGGTTCTAACTCATGGAGCATGAAAGACAGGAACGCGTCGATATTTCGTAAAACATCGAGTCTACAGAAAATTTGTGTAGAACATAAAAGTTTCTAAATTAAATTTCCTATAACTTTTCTTCTAAACATTTTTGCTATAAACTCTGCGGTAAGCGAGATATTATTTCCTATATTCCTATATTCATTTTCTATAAAATCGATGTTATCCGAAGTATCGACGCGTTTCTGTCTTTCATGCTCCACGAGTTTGAATTCTTTTTATGCTGAATATAAACCTCTAAGCGAGAATTTTCCAATGTTTACATTTTCTCGGGTTTAGATAACAAACAGAGCTACACATCACTTGTATAGAAGGTTATTATTTAACAAACTCTGTTTTATATTACTACACATAAAATTTCTCGATGCAGGCTAACCGACGAGTAGAGGACTTCAAGCTGCAACTGAAGGAACTGAAGAAGCAACTAAAGGCGGCCGACAAGCGTGCCATTTTGGCCGAGAGAACGGTGAAGAAGATGCTGAAGGAAGTGGACATGAAGGAAGGTAAGTTCGCGAGTCGAACGTGACGTTTCGGTCTACATAGTTGCGATGTGTTTCAGACGAGCTCAGAGAAGAAAAGGAGAAATACAAGGCGGTCTGCGACGACATGGACGCCACGTTCGCCGAAATGACCGGATATTAAAGTCGCGGAAACGGACGGAGTTTCATTTATTTTATTATTCTGTGCTTCTTTCGCTTGTTCGCTACACTTAACACGGACGCCATACGTCAGACTTTGTCCATCTGCGTCCAGCCAAGCTGACTTTTGATTCGATATAGCGTATCGTGACACGTTTCGTAGCGCTTCCTACGAATATGCTTCCTAAAAATAATTTGCTAAATAATTGCTAATCGCACGTAACGAGCGAACAAACGACGTACACCTGCTTATTTCTTAATACAGAGAACGAAATGTAAGCTTTGCTAAACCGCTTCGCTTCGCATAACACCTCGCCAAGGCTTCAAGATCGACGCTGTAGATCGAAAGTGGTCTCGAGAAGCGACAGTCCTTGTTTTCGATAGAATTGACGATAGATCACCTATTTTTCTTTCAGAGGTTCCGAAGAGGAGATCGTGATACATGAAAGCAAGCACGATACTGCGCCCCCTTTTTATCGTTGTATATCAAATCTTAATTTTCAATAAATTGGTACTTAACAAACAAACAAAAAAATATACAATCGTCTTCATTTCTTCTAAGTCCCTTAAACGAAAGAGTCTCGAGTAAAGGATCAAACATTCTGGGTATTTTTTTCGTAGCGAGCTTAAATGGAATCATTAAATTTTGTGAAAAAATTATATTTATAACCATCGAAATGAAATTAATTCTTTTATATTACGAATGCGTTATTTTTAATCTTAGTAACTTTATATAGATTTGTTTTATTTACTTTTATCGTTTGTGGTGATATAGTTCGATACAAAAATTTGCCAAGAATGTAAAATATTTGCGATTTAACGCGACGAAATTGGAATGAATGTTTTCAGCAGCGCCTCGTCGAAATTCGCGCATCCGTTGGTCATTTAGTAGCAGCTTCGCGCGGATCGAGCGATCGCGAGAGCAGAAACGTCCGGAGAAGTCGTGGAATCCGTTTGTGTCTAACTAAAGAAACGGACGGTTCGTTTCTTTTGCATTTTTACGAGTCTATAAAGCATTGTCCTCGCCGGTCACCGAGTGCAGTAACCCGCGAGCTTCGCTTTGAAAGACCGTAGGGCTCAGTAGCCCGCACGAATTTGATTTCTCAAACGCCAGTACGTAGAATTCCATAATTCTCACGAACAGGACGAAGCGTCACGTAGAAGTGTTGGAAGTGCCTTGAAATCATTGATATATCCGAAAGTGCATATCACTGAGGCAGTGACGAGGTGTCCACGAAACTGAAACGAGAAAACAAATTCGGACCCTCCTAATTTTTAACTAATTTTTCATTAAGCATCTCTTTATTCCGTCACGTACGTCTATACTAATCGATTTTTCAACGTTTCTTTCATTGATGATTTAACTTTGCTTTCGTTACACCATTGATGTATTATTTACACGATTAATACATTATATGATATATTGTTGAACGTGCTATCGAATACATTGTTAAATCTATTATAAAACTATATAGTTTATATATTGGAAAATATACTATGAAATATATTATTTATATATTAATTGTGTAATGAATTAAAATGTTGACAGTAATATATTTTCTCACGAAAAGCATTGTGCGATATTAATTATCCCGGAGTTCCAATAAGAAAACGCGATTCATTAAATTGATAATATTCATTAAATTGTATTAAATAATAAAAACTGGACAAATGTTGCAGTTGTTCCGTAGCATCACAGATAATGTGTCAAGGAAAATATTTGAAAATTTCAGAACCTCCGAGAAAACAGTTCTATAACAACTCTTTAATCTTTTTATCTTTGATTATCGTCGAGCAACTAAAAAAATAATTCAATTATACAAAAATATATTGTTTGTTAACAAAGTAGAGTTTCTGTAATGCAACCGACGAACAAAGAAACCTATTAGTAATTTCAGTTTACGTTTTGTTTACTCTGGTAATTTCGTTAATACGATTGAATTTTCTCTGTCTCGATTTAGCATCGCGTCGAGACTCGGTGATCGATCGTTGCAGTTATGAACGCCATCAAGAAACGCCTGCAGACGCTGAAGATCGAGAAAGATCTGGCGATGGACAAGGCCGATATGTGCGATCAACAGGCAAAGGAGGCGAATCGACGAGAGGAAAAGCTGAGGGACGAGGTCCGAGAGTTGGCAAAGAAACTGGCACAGATGGAGCGCGACTTGCAGCTGAGCAAGGCCCAGTTGGAGAAGTCGATCAGAGACCTCGAGCAAAAAGAGAGCGTCTATATCGTGGTCGGTAATTTGTAACATGGTTCAAAATTAAAACCCGAATACTATACATTCATTTTTTAGTAAGCTTGAAAATTGTAAGCTTGTAAAGTTATGAGCTTGTAAAGTTGTTAGTATTCGGATAGGTATTTTTATTGGGATAATTAATCAATTATCAGTTGCTGTTTTTGATCATTATATAGTCAAATTCGATTTTATTTAATTCTGAATATTCATGTCTCCAATATCATTGATGTGCAATAGATTTAATTGTAAAGAATGTTGGGTTTCAAACTTCATCAATAAAATTCAATGAAGTAGAAGCAATAATAATTAAAATTAAAATAGGAATAATTGTACAAATAATTTCAATATTACGATTTTTTAAAAGCTCCACCCTTTTCTTTCAACCATGTTTCACATTATTTCACGTTAGATGATGTTTGAAGAACTCACGAATGATTAATAAAGATTGTTATTGATTTTTAACGATAGACTCAGTCGGAGCTGGCGATTTTGAACAGAAAGATGCAGCAGTGCGTTCAGAACCTGGAAAAATCCGAAGAACGTCGTTTGACGGCGCAGACGAAGTTGGCGCAGGCGATGGAAACCGCGGAGGATGCGAAACGGTTTGTATGCGCATGTTTGCATGTGTTTCGATAGAAAATGTCAGAACAATAAACGATTATTTTACATATCGAACGTATTACGTACTAGTAATAATGCGTTTCAGTATTTGTAAAGTGTTGGAGAACAGAAGCAAGCAAGATGAAGAGAGGATGGACCAATTGATGGCACAATTGAAAGAGGCGAGGCTCATCGCTGAAGACGCCGATTCAAAATCGGACGAGATCTCTCGAAAATTGGCCTTCGTTGAAGACGAATTGGAAGCCGCCGAGGAAAGAGTAAAATCGAGCGAGGCGTAAGTTCGCCGAGTCAACAATCAAAGAATTATTTTCAGATAAAAGATGACAGTTCTACATATAACAGTACTGAATTTTCAGAAAGATTATGGAACGAGAGGACGAGTTGTTCATCGTTGGTAACATATTGAAGTCGTTAGAAGTATCAGAAGAAAAGGTAATCTGTTTTTCGCAAATATATTTAATATAATTAGTTGATTAACACTTTGCGATATTTTGGGACTTTCGTAGGCCAATCAAAGGGTGGAGGAATTCAAATCGCAGTTAAAAGAGTTGAAAGCAAGACTGAAAACCGCCGAGAAGAGAGCCATCATCGCAGAAAAGATGGTCAAAGTATTCTCAAAAGAGCTGGATGCAAGAGAAGGTATATTTAAAGATTTTCCATTTTCTTTATACCTTTTATGGATGCATACACTTCATTTTCTCGCTCTTCAGACTTCCTCTTCAGAGAAAAAGAGAAGTACAAGTACATCTGCGACGACATGGACTCCACGTTTGCGGAACTTACCGGATATTAGTCGAATTTTTCTGATACCGATGTGTACATGAATTTTTTTTTTTTATTAAAACTTATATTTAAACTATCGTTTGGTCTTACGTCTCTGTTAATTTGATCTTTGTAGCCATTTTTATACGGTTTTTAAAAAGGTACCTTTTTTAAAATTTTAAAAAAAGGTAACAGAGGATTTGTTATTAGAGTACACAGATTTCTCTAAAATGAACAGAAAATTCTTATAACTAAGCTTTTAACTCTTTACGAAGTTTACACTTGAAGAAGATGCTTCCAAAAGATAATTTCGTCGCAAGTTCTAGAATACTCCTTAAATTAAACCAGGGGAGGGTTTGAAATAAATAGTGGTCGAAGTCGGAGTTGTTTTATAGTACTTTACAGGATATCAATTTATTTGATCGATTCTACGATCGACACAATGCTTCGAAACGCCACACCACCGACTTAATACAGTTTTCAGCTGTGGCAAGATGGCCGTGTCGCCTCGTTTGCTACGCGATCGCGCGAAACACGGAGGAAATTTACGATTCTCGACGTTTAATAGCGGACACGGCCACGCCACAGTGTAGAATCTCGATACGCAGGCACACCCTCGACATTCGCGCCATGATTTCTCTTTCTTCATTTTTTACAACGATGCTAGTAGCAGTTACAATAATAATTGTTCGTTTGATTTGCTCACTCCCCACGCCTTCGTCCCCTCGCGAACGCGAACAAACCGGTGACGTAACTTCGAGTCCGTCGATTAGAAACGTGCACCATTTTTACGTTGTTTCAGTTTGTGCAATTTGTTAAAGTCATTAAAATTACTTTATATGCAAATGTTATATATTATTTTTTAGCTTTTGAAAAGCTCCTATCATATTTAATTAGTAGCTACATTAATTTATTTATCGTTTAATTTTTTTCCGTTTTAGTAAAATCATGGAAAGTTTTGAAATTCGAGTACTTGTACGTCATTACTGGAACCAAGAGCTTAAAGCTACTCAGTATAATATTTCTTTTTTCCTGCTTCAGTAGCTTTAATCTCTTGCTTCCAGTAGTGACACAAACGCACTCGAATCTCAAAATCTTCCATAATTTTACTAACACGAAAAAAAAAATTAAACGATACGTAAAGTAATGTATCTAATATTTAAAGATGAAAGAGCTTTTCAAATGCTGCAAAATGATACGTAACACTTGCATATAAAGTAATTTTGTCTTAAAAAAATTGCACGAACTTTTGGTTCACCCTAATAATTCACCAAAGATTTTCTTGCAAGCAGATATTAATTAAATTGTATAAATATTCATAAAGGATCCAAGTGACAAGTAACACAGAGCACGACGATCGACTTTCAGACCTCGTTTGTTCGTTTATTTAGTATGCATGCACCCTCATTTCGCATCACTATGTATTACACCAGTGTACTTTGAGACTTTTAAACCTTTCTCTATTTTTTTCTGGATTTCGAATGGTTCGAATCGTTAATTCACCTCTAACTCGTATCATTTGGCTTCTGATATCTTTCCGTTGCGCATGATTACGTGCACGCGGGTGTAGTACAACGCTTTAAGTGTATTTCGAGGTGGTCCAAGTTACGTCACTGCTTTAATTAAAACGTAACGCTGTTCGCAGCATCGCGAGGAGATCGTTTGATCCAACGATGAACGCAGAGAAAATTATTGGCAGTAGGGTCACATGTGTCCGAGGAATCCCTGGCTCCTGTTCGGCACCGAGCAACGTATGTCGATGACATAACTGTAAACGAAAATTAACGACAAACTCGACGAACGCTTAACGTCGCAGTTAGAACTCTCCCATTGTTCTGCTTACTTAAAATTATTCAATTTACAAATATCCTTCATGTCTTCCATATACAAAACAATCTTCCCCTCATATAACGTCTTTCTTCAAGTGGAACACAGTGTCTTCAAGCTTGAACTGTTTCATGTCTTCACAATTACACGTGTGTAATTATACACGATGAAATGTAGTCACGACAACACTTTACAAGTATCGCCATGTATATTTATAAAAGATTTACCACGATCTTCAGAGGTGAATCCACACTTCCAGATCAGTGATCCCTAGACTGCGAATTTATATGCATTTATAAAAAATTTGAATGCGCAAGAAATTGCAAATTGCACACAGTATACAATAATATAAAGAAATAGTGAAAGAAAATTCATATTGTCATACGTGCGGAGTAAAATAAATTCCTATTTAGGTTCAATTTTTGTAAGTACGTTTGCAATGATTTTATTTCTGCACAACAAATTCGGCATAAAATTCATTTTAACCTTGATTTTTTCAAAGACACACATTCTTCATTAAATTTTATTGCTGTTATGTTGCTCGTCAAAAGGATGAAAAGTAGCCTTAACGAGAAAAGAAAAGGAAGAAAATGAGAGAATAGAGTAAACGATGTACAGTAAAAACTCTAAGCTTCTATAATGCCAACTTAGATCCACTTCAAGTTACCAAACAATTTTGCAAACTAGTTACAAACTGATGATAAATATATGGAGCTGAACGCGCACGCCCTGCACAAGCTTGTAAATACGCAAAATTTGCAAATAAATCGACGCAAGCGTTCGTCGTCTGGGTGAAATTTCTTTCTAACGATACAACTATCCGCGCGGATATCTCGTCAGGGAACCAGGGATTCCCAGAATCGGAAAACAATCGGATATCGAAAGAACCTGGTTAAATGTACGCAGTCCTTGTTCAGCGGACGTCAGTCGGTCGGTGACCTAAGAAAAAATGTACAAAAATGTTGTCGTCCGATAAACGATACCCGCTTCCCGCACAGGATCTAACGAATCATAATCGAACTCTACGAGTTTGATTGACGTGCTTTCTCGTATATACACTCATGTATGTATCGTATGTATGCGCTTACACGCGCTTTAAGTACATATATATATATATATATATATATTTATATAATATATATTTATATTATATATATTTATATAATATATATATTTATATAATATATATATATTTATATTATATATATATATATTTATATAAATTTATATATACGTATATCTATGCCATAGTCTTCGCAGTGTCGCGCACACTTCCGGGAACTTAGCTGTTCGAATCACTGAAAACAACGCGAAAATAAAGTCGTCGAAAATCGTTCTCGAATTGCCTCGATTCGTCGTCGAGCACGGATTTCGTAAAATACATCGAAAAAACGCTTCTAAGCCTACGGTCGATAGGAAATTTCGTAAAATTATTGTTACCGGAAACAGGAAGTTGGCCGCGGATATTTTTTGGCACTTTCGAGTAATCTGCGGAATGGCAGTGTCGTGGAAGTCTTGGGTACCAGAGATGGGCAAAATTTTGTTCGTTTTATTTTTCTCAAACGGAATCTTTGCACTTTCACGTAAAATTATTCAAACGTACATCTAACCATGTGTGTTTTATTAAAAAAAAAAAAAGAAACAAAAATTCTTTATTCTCTTTCGGGAAACCCTTCAGTTCGTAATTTTTGCACGTTGTTTTTATCTAGTTAAGGAATTTGCCCATCTTTGGCGGGAACGTGATACAGATACGCGCTTAGAGGCTAACCGATGTTTATTTTTACTTTCATCTCAGTCTGAGGGAACGTTCGAATTCGTTGCGGGTCGCTCGGACTGTTCGTTTGTTCTTTTCGATTTCTCGAGTCCAACGAGATCGATTACGTGCTTCGATTGCGAGCTGGAATCCCATGGATTCGAAATCGCGCGAGATGGGCCACCAGAAACCAAAGGTTTGGGTTCGAAGACAGTGTAGTTATATCGAAACACGATTTACATAGTTATTATTAACATCATTTTTCTCAAGAGTAAGTTGTTTCGTAGTTATTACGGTTCTTTTAGTACACGCTTCTTTCTCATAGATATTCTTAAAAAAATGTACGATCGTGTACCGTGATCTTGAACTTCAAAGAGTTAGAATTAAGTGTAATTGAATGTACGCTTTATTTTCTTCTTTCATTAAGGATTTCATGATCTTAAACTTCAGTTAGAATCAAGGGACGAAGTCTTAAAAGTGTACATTTCATTTCCCTCAGTCATTCTATATTGTTTTTAATACTAAAGTTGAAATTTTTAATAAAATCGGAGTATATGGAAGAATATCCGTAGGAACATATTATTTTGTTATCAGTTTTAGTAGCAAGCGCAGTCATAGCACATCGATATTTTTCAATATACTAAACACTACAAATCTACCAATATTACACGAAAAATCCATCGAGTAACCTTATTGTATATCCTAAAAAATTCAGCCCCAAAAGGTAACGAACTTTTGTTCAGTAATTTTCTAACACTCTCAATGCTACACGATACAAACTTTTCAAACTTTTATTTCGCTCTGACACGATACGAAGCTAAGTACATGTAAAGTCCTCTAAAAAGCTTCAGGAATACGTTAATCAAAAATTCATCTCAAAAAGTTGAACTAATTACATCGGAAAATATGTATAAAGCTAAGCACAGCTGTCATAATTATAATATAACGTCACGGATAGAAAAATGAAAAAATGTCCCAAAAGGAGCGCAGAGATGGGAACCGTTCATCCAGCTTCTGTCACTCACTATTTTCGTAGCATCTTCGAATCCAAGAGGTATCTGGAGTGGTCCGTTTGGCTCCTGGTGACTCATTCCGCACGTGAGAATAAACTTTCAATGATTGCAGTCTTAATCTGCGAGATACGATTTCAACGATTTAATTGGAAACAACTATCACGGCGATTAACGCGCGCCTCGTGAAGCGTTCGGCGCGATCGTCTTCACAGCGCTGAACGACGCCGAAGCGGAGGTACGTGCGCTCAGATTTAGAAATAGTTGGCGAGCCTTAAGTTAAAAGTGCGCGACATTCGAAGAGGGACGCGGTTTAAACGGTAAACCTGTCGTCGAAAGAGACGCCTTCGACGTTAGACTAGCGTTTCGTCGGCACGGAAGAAATGTACAGAGTGGGAATTAGTCCAGCCGCTCCAGACTAAAATACACAGGACCCGGGAAACATTTTTATCGAGCCGACTCTCGCATATACTTTCGTTAAGTCGTTGTAAGTCGCGTGTCAAAAATTCCACGATTATAGTTGTGCAGATATTCCTTACAGGCTCGACAGGTGTAACGAGTCCGTGTTACGTGGATATTTTTCAAAATTAATGGGCTTCTCGTAAAAATTGTTATAACTAAATGTAAAGTTTCCTTTCATACGCCTTTTTTTTTTATAAAAAATCTCTTTATTTTTATTTGCGTAAGAACTATTCTTGCAGCGAATGCAATAATTTTTTCGACAAAATAATAATTCTTAGACCTCTCGAGAATTATAAAAAATTCAGTGGAATTGTTTCTTTATCATTCGTAACGTTTAAATTGAAGTAGGTACAAAGATTCGGCTCGATAAAAATATTTTCGTAATCAAACCTAAAGAGACTGGACTAAGAGGAGCGCGCGACGGCCGATCGTACTTCGCGTCGCTCCGCACAGAAATAATCTCTTGTTGGTAAGAAAAGAACTGACCCTGACATCCTCCCTCTCCCCTCTGGATTTTTATCCACTTCTTCAAGATGACAGTTTACTCTTACGTCCGAGTTATCAACAGTTCAAATTTCAACAATAATGGAGGACGTGTTCAACAATTATTTCAGTGCGATTCAAAAACAATGGAAAATACAAAGAATTAGTTCTATTATAAAATTTTCAACGATTTTTACATGACTTTCCAATTCACTTATACTTCAAAAATATGTGCTTCAAGAATATGTACTTAAATTCGCAAAATGTCTAAAGTTGAAGTTTAAGTAGTATCGCCACATAAAAATGAAAAGAAATTACTCTCAACATTTTACGCGTAACAAGGACCCCAATTTACCATCCTGAATGAAAAGTTTAAGGAAGAAGAGGAGCAGGTTCGGGACTTCCCTTGCCAGAGACGCCTTAGGATTAATAACGGACTTAAAATAATCAACGGTGTTAGACGTACGTATAAACTTTACAATGCAACAGAGCCCAACCCTCGCGACGATTCGTCTCTGTGACGAACGTCGCGTTCTGATAATCGTGTTCTAATATTCCACGAATACTCCAAACAGCTGTGTATACTGCCAAATCAGCTCACGGTCTCGCACACTCATCCCGATTCTAATACCATGCACGCACTGGACACAGGTGAGCACGGTTATGCGAGTAGCAGAACGACGTCGTCGATTCGCTTGGCGAAATCATTGGCTCTTGAAGACGTGATCAAACGGAGAGCAAGAAAAATCAGTCTTTGAGAATCGAAAGGACGATTCTCTCGTTCGCTAAAAGCGTCTTCTGAGTCTGCTGTGATTCTTCGACGTGAGAAAAAATATATACGTTCATTCGATAGTTGCAGGTTTTATATTAGGGGGAGCGAAAAGTAATAAAGATGTCTTCGGCTTGGAAATGTTTTTCAATGAAAAATCGAAGGACTTTTTTAAAAAGGGAATCGAACTAAATATGTAAATATTATTTAAGATTTCTTTAAATGTTTCTCGCCAGTAGAAGACAAATTTTCGTAACTTTTCGGTTCTCCTAATATTGAGTGAATATTTCGGTCACAAACTTCGTCAAAAATGATATAAGCTCTAGAATTTTAAAGTTACTGAATAGAAAAGTGTTGAATTCAATTATTCTTGCATTTAAATAGAAAAATAGATGAATCTCCAATATTTTAAAAATTCGATGGCAGAGATTCAAGTTCTTATACATAATTGAATTATTTTAAATAGAAAAGAAGAAATGAATATTCGGTACAGGTATTTGGCGCGTACTCTAAATAATTCGTGAGACGTATAAACGTCGCGATACTATCTATACATGTAAATAAATTTTATTTCTCGAATCGTGTACCGTGTTCTTCAACCGTGACTCTTGCAAAATGAAATATTGCTTAAGAACAGTAGCTCCGAAGTTACATCATGTCGCAACGAGAGATTAGTCGATAACGCGAACTGATTGAAAGCGAGCAACGGAACGCTGTTGCAAAAAATAACGATTGACTTGTCTAGAATCGATGAACGAATCGTGTAGGCCAGCGTGACCAAAATAAACGGCTGCCAGTCAGTACGCGCCTAGCAGTGTTAAATTGCTCGACCCGCGGCAATTAATTACGCAATGATAAACCTCATCAACTTCGAACGAACGATTTCCCGATCGAGTTTTATATTCTCCTATTGTTTCGCTGTTAGCATAGATTTCTCTATAATTAACGATTACAATACCTCCATTCATCAAAGTTTCAACCCTTTTGAGGGTTGAAGCCATCTTGAACGCGCGAAGAGCTATATTCAATCATTTTTTGTTCGAAAACAATTGACTCGATAGAAGATCCGTTTACTAGGGTTCGTTACACATATATCGAATAATGAAAATAATGAAAATAGAATTTAAAATTTAAAATAAAGTTTAGAAGCGTTCAAGCGGTGGCTTGTCCCCTCAAGAGATTTGTCCCTTGTGTGAAAGGTATATTTACATATTTTCATGTACCAAATTCGAATGAAATCTTTTAACGAGTTGATTTAAAAATTTAATTGTAACTTTTATAAGTCAGGAAGATGATTTCAAAACAAAAAGTCAAATTTATAAGCAGCTTGAGATTATTAAGTAGCAAAGGTGTCATCCTATAATTTGCCACATACTACACGGTTTGTTCCCAAGTTTTTTGAAGTATAAAAAGCGTTCATTAGACGACGCTCGAAGGGAATTCCGAACATTCCTTTCAATTTGAACGTGATATACCACGAAATTCGAGACGGCGTCGTTCTCCACGATCTCCTGGTGCTCGAAGGACTTTCCCGTGCTCTGTACGTACGATTAAGTCTTTGGTCTCGAATGGGTCGCCCGCCGGCAAACGAGTCGCAGCGGTCTGAGCAAATTGTCGTTTGGCACGCACTCCTACACGCGATCAAACTCATTCAACCTCGGACTCATTCACTCGTCATGTCCACGCACGCACGGTTGTAATATCTCGTTACGTCAAGGATAAAGAAGAGGAGTCGGGACCATCGCTTGTGTAAAAGGGAGAACGAAAGATCAGCCTTGGGAGAAAGTTTGTAATCCTCTTGGATCGGATGCCTTTGCAGTTATAGGCTTACCGGGTGTCGTGAGTTTTTATAAAATACATGGTACAATTATTGTTCATACAGGGTGTTTCGTACCTCTTCGGCAAGATTAAAGAAGCATGATCTACAAGTGAAAATAAGAATAAAATGTTATACGAAGTTTGTTTATAAACGATTTGTTACGATATTATAAGCAAATACTTAGTGTAATTTCTCGTTATGGGGAACGCTAGAACAGAAGGTGTACAGCAGTAAATACACGTGAGGTATTAATTCAACGAATTATTAATTCAGTTGCTGAGATGCAGCAAAATCCTCAAGAAATTCAGAAAGTAATTCCATATTACATCGGTGTCAAGTTTGTATCAATGCAACAGGTGGTCAGTTTGAAAAATTCTTGACGATCCTCGTACGTTAAGAAATATCTCGTACGGGCAAAGTAAACACAATATACAGGCTACATTCAATATTTGCCCATAATATCGTAACAAAGTGTTTATAAATAAACTTCATTTTTTTCATGTCTCAACACCCTGTATAATAGTTTAATCAAGACCAGGGTCAGTTTTGTTCCACATTGTCTTCTATCAGAATCGAAATAAATAGTTTTACGTCATCGATGCAACAGTGATTTATGTTTGTCCAACAATTTCTTCTTTTACTGCAACTCAATATTATTCAAATTCTATTTAACCCAGGACTGATTCTTCCTTCTCCGTGCTACACAAACGATACGATACTCTCGACGACTCCCCCTCGTTATCCGCGAACGATTCACCGATTTCCCAGCAACGAATATAATTTAATTTTCACCTATAATCGACAGAGAAAAAAAGGGTGAACGGACGAGCGCGTGCTCGTTGCCCGTCCCGTTCTTCTTTCATCGTTATTATTATTTATTATTATTTCCTTTTCTTCCAATTTAACCTAACCACGTCGAAAACCGTCGACGGGACACCAGATAGAAGGATTTATTTACCTAATTGTTTTGGACCACGGGGCGGGAAGGAGGGGAGGGGGTCGTTTTCATTTTCTTTTCTTTTCTTTTTTGGCCCACCATGGAGACGCGCGGGAAGTGCAAGGTGAGGCACAGGGGAAAGAGGAAGGCGAATTAAACGGCGATTGAGTAGTCGGAGGAAGGATTATTTTGGGTGCTCGGCCTTGACCAGAGAGAGCTCCTCAGACCGAGTTTCAGCTTCTTCAAGGAGTCGATGTCGCACTCGGCCTCGCTGAGCTCCGGCCGATCGGAACGGTCGCCGTTCCCCGCCACGACGTTCCCCTGATTGCCACCTATGAACGTGGTCTCCGCGACCGATATCGGTGGTAACAGTGTGCGTAGCGAGCTTCTGCTGGGAACATGCCATCTTACGGGACGGCCAAACGTACGGACTTTACTACAGAGAGAATATACCACCTACGGGATCTTAAACTTTAGAATTTTAATTATGAATAGAGGTGCTTCTTCTTGAATTTTTGTTTCCCTTGAACTCTGGCGATAATAGCCTTTGCAAGCTTTGCATGCTTGTTTATGGATACCTCGAGAAGGCAGGTATTTTTTATTCGCGAAGGAATATTCGTTGAGGAAATTTATGAACCCGAAGAGCTTTGATGATATGAAATAGGTGACGAGTTTAAGCATAATTATTTTTTTTTTAATATTGTTACCTAGATCGTCCTCTTCGAGGAAGCGACTTCTGTTCCGACATGGGTGAGATGTCCGATGAAGTGCTCGACGTACCGTGATAAATGAAGTCGGAAACGGCTCGAACTGAAAGAAATTTTTCAAATATCAAGGTAGATGTTTTTGTTCTAAGATATGGGCTGCAGTTTACTTTGGCGGGCCATAAATTGTTCAGTTTCAGAGAAACGCACTGTGTTTGAGTTTGCCAGGATCCAGTTGATTGGAAGACTCCGTGCGAGAGCTCGTTAGTTGATCCGGGTCAGACTCGCTCTCGTCGCTCTCGACGTCGCCCGGAGTTTGTTGCTTTCTCTGCTGCCGTCTCCTCGACGAAACGCTCTTCATGCTCTATCGACACACACATGTTCAATGTTTTTATCATTTGACAATTCTTACACAATTCCTACGAATGTATGAATCGTAGAACTCGATCGAGAAGTCTTGGATGTCTAACAGGGGTGCATTTACGACTGAACCATCGCCTTTATCCCTTTCTACAGGCAAATCGGATTGAATTATTATTGCAAAATGTGAACGCGACGTTCAATTCTCTGATACTGTTCATTCAGGATGGAGATATCGGATAGAGTTAGAAGTTAATTGGCAGTCTTCACAGCGTGTTCAACCTTTGCATGGTGACGTACCGCCGCGGCAGGTGGAGGGCTCGCACACCCTTCGGTCATGGCGTGCTCGTGATACATGAAGCTGTGCAGAAGCGTGTTGTTCGGATGGAGACCTGCCGCTGAAGCTTCCGCCGCGCCTCCCAGTCCTCCCAGCCCTCCCAACCCTGCCAGGCTTCCCCCGCCACCCTCCGAAAGCTGGAACGTAGCGTACGGCGAGATGTCCTCCGCTGTCTCTGTAACCCATCAGCGGCATTGCCTACCTTTCAAATCGCGTCGGTATTACTTGGTTAGGTGTGAATGGATTTCGAGCTCTGGATCGGAATTTAACATTTCTCTTTTCTCTTTCATTGGTTTTGAGGCGATCCGGGTAATGTTAGGTGTACAAATTAATTCTCAGCCCCCAGCTTCCATTGATCAGTAGAATCAGTTAGTAAATGAATTCTTCTACATTGTTTATTTATTTTAAAGTGCGATCTATTACCTTTTCAACCCCTTTCCACCGAGATAATATTTAATATTCGCCTGAATATTAATAAGAATCAGGATTCAGAAGAAATATTCATTGAAGACGTTAATCGTGAAGGTATTTGTTCGAGTGGTTGGTTCACCAAGAACTTATAAAAGATAGTTAAATAACTCGTGTATCATTTGTGAATTTGAAAAAAAATTTTTTAAGTCATTACTCACGAGTTTTTCGTCGCGAGTAATAGCGAGCTAATGGCGATGAGTAAATTTCTACACCTAATACTTTTATTCCTCAACGTTTCAGTTCTGGATCTCTTCTTGAGACAAGAGTTTACAAAAGAATAGTAAATGAGAACCGAATTTTTGTTGTAAGCCCTCGTCTTTTGAAGAGGGCTGGTATTACCGTGTCGAAACGTTGAATTGCTCCAAAACTAAGAAATGTTACGTCTAGTTTGTTATTCAAGACCTTGAGCAAAGAAAGAGAGCATTGTAAGTCCTGTTTTCTTGAGAATAATGCAAACAAATTACTGACGATACGAGGAGTCCTTTTGCTCGAAGAAGTTATCACGAGGGCCAGTGGCGCAACTACAAATCCAAACTTCGTAATAAATAAAACACAAACTAAATATTGGTTAATTTCTGATTATATTTTTAAACTAGACACATATAAGATAAATTATATAGAGAATGTCCATTGCTTTACTAGAATTATTTAACAGGGACATTTTGTTTAGTTTGTTAAATATTTGTCTACATGGTTACATAGGCTCATGGTTACTTTTACTCGAAAAAATATTGTGTTAATCCTATTGAATTTAACACAAGGCCTTAAAATTACTGGTTAAAATAATCATATCTGAAGGGATTAAATTACGAGAGTTTGATACACCTTAATAAAAAGAGAAGTATTTCATACATCCATAATCACAAAATCTCTGACACTCGTGATACTTTCTCCGAGCGAAACGATTCATCCGCGTACACCGTACCGCATGCTTTGAAACTTGCATCTGGTCTCTAATGCTTCGTCTCTAATCGTTCGTTCGAACATTGACACGCTGCTGTAAGGGATCGCTATGTCTAAAAAAATGAGAGAAGACAGCCAATGGAGATAGAAGCGATGCATAAAAAAACGTTCAACAAAACACATCCGTGATAACGTGTGACTGTATGATCGGCGCATTCAACGATGATACGATGTGACCGCGTAAAAGGCGCAAAGAAAACGTACGATATCCCGAGAGTATCTAGGGTCGCTCGATGGAATGAAGACGTGATAAAATAAACCATCCTCGCTGGTGAACTGCAATCGATCGCTAGCGGTGAACCCGCCGGAACTGCGCTACGCGTGCGACTGAACAACAATTATAGTACCAAACCTGGCTGCCGTCCGTATCGTAACAAAGGTTCACCTGGAATCTTGTCGGGCCCTCCGCCCGTATTCGCAGCCTGCTGTAAAGCCACCTTATGAATGGTGGCGTAGTAACGCTCCCTTTGGGTCTCCGCGTTTTGTTGATTCTCCTGGGTCTCCTTCATGGGGCGCTGGACTCTGTCCCCGAGGTACCCTAATATGTTGCAGAGGAAACGAATTGTCACGCACTGTGTTCAATGTAATCATGGTTGATTTTAGGGGACGGAGCGCTGTAACATTTGTTACAAATCGATTTTTGTTGAATTTCTCAAATGATGTATGTTTCAAGAATGTGGTGTCGAAATTTAAAAAAGATGTATCTGGTTAAAGTTACAGCTTTGGGTTTGGGACAGTGTTAACTCGATCGAAGGCTATTGAAACTTCAAAGAGGCACAACATTGTCAAATTCAAGATAAAATTGGTTTGGTTTCCATCTCTCAAAAGATATATGTTTCAAGAATTTTGTGTCCAAATTTGATAAAGAAATCTCTAGAATTGCTAGAGTTCTAACTCTGGATGTACAGCAGTGTTAAGCATACGACCGAAGGCTATTGAATCTTTAAATGCATTTACATCAAAGCGAGACTTTATTTTTATATACGTATTAATGTCTTCCTTCATTACAAGCAGTTATCTTAAAAAAAAAAAACCAACCATGCAAACACTATTTTGACGTATTGCATTTAAAAATACGTTCTCCGAGTTTTTATTCGAAAATTGAACAAAGGCAGCCCATTTTAATAACAATTCAACTTACTGTTTCGCCAGCGGAAGGCAACGATGGACACAGCGACGAGCAACGCGAATGTGGCCACGATCAGAGGCAGAATCACCTTCACGTCCGCGTAAAACGGAGTGGCCGACGCAATTCCACGTTTCGATAGTTCTGCGGGTGGCGGTTCTGCAAAGTTTCAGGAACACAGTGCTTTTGGATATAATTGTTTCAACGTAAAAACGAATCACCAGCGGAAACGTTCTCGTCTACTTTCTTCCTATCGGCGCACGCTCTCTGTAGAAGCTGTAATTACACATCCAAGCTTACCGCCTTCCTTCGTCAACGTGACGAACGTGAACTCCGCTTGATTGGTTCCAGCGACGTTATGCGCCTCCACCTTCAGCTGGTAAACGGAACTCGGCTGCAGATTCGTCACGACGAAACGTCGCTGCATTTTAACGCTGTTGGACACCAGTGTCCAGTGGAACTCGTTTATGGGCCTGTATTGGATCACGAAGTAGCGGATGGGGCAGCCATTGTCTGGCCACACGTGAAGCCGAAGAACCAACGTCGTCGAGTTGGGACTGAGGAATGCTGCTGCGGGTGGTATGCCTGGCGCCTGGCCTTGAGTTCTAACCGAAAGGACCGGCGAGGATGGGCTGCTTCCAATTTTGTTGTGGGATGTCAGGTAGAGTTGGTAGGTATTTCCGCAGAGGAGTCCCTGAAAGTCGAGCAAGTGCTGAGTTATATTTCTCTGTGGTACAAGGTGAAGAGTTTGGTTGGCGATTTGGAAGCTCTCCTGCTTTTTAAAATCAACGTCATTATGTATTGAAGGGAGTGACTAAAGTGGGATGAAATCGATCTCTGGAATGTTGTCTTCATGAAATTGTTGATTCGAACAGTGAATTTAAAGCGAAGTGTCTCTTACCTTCAGTTCATGGCTAGTGGCGTGTCGAGACAGTTGCAGTTCCTCCAGGTTACCATGAGTCGTTCGATAATGTAACGTGTACCCCGTGAGCGGGGCACCACCGCTATGCCCAGGCTTCCAATGCAACAAAATGCTGCTCGACGTGGAACTTGTTACGTAAAGAACGGGCGCACTTGGCGGTACTACGAGCAGACGAAACAAAGTTATGATATCAAGATTGAAAATCTTTTTATTTTCGAACGGCCGAAATTCATGTCCTGCTATATGGTGAAAAATGCTGTGAGGCGATGAAATGGGTGGGTAGTAACAGAATAAATATGACCTGTTACACAGCTTGAAAAGTGCGAAATGCTATGAAGATAGAGAAGGACAGCGAATAAAGAAGAGAACGCACAGTGTGATATTTCAGCGATCTATCGAGACAAAACTTATATCGAGTCACACTCCATATAGGAATGCAAAGGGTTAAGGAAGGGAATCAGGAAACTTAAAGTCAAAAGAACGAAAAGCCTACTTTATTGAAATGTTTAAAAATGAATCCCTTTGGACAGAATTGTCTTAAATGTATAGAATGAAAGTATTAATATTTGATTAGTGATACAAGTAGAAGCTAAATCCAATTATTGAATTTTATATTCAACCGTATTTAAAATGTTTTACTCTTCTAAGTAATGAATATTTCAGAAAGATCTTCTCAACTCACCCTGTACGGTTAACGTGTAATGCAGTTTGTCGCTGCCCTGAGCGTTCTCCACTTGGCAAGTGTAATTTCCGCCATCTTGGGACTGTAGATTCGACAGGACGAGCTCTCCCGATGGCAGTATCTGTATGTTTCTGGTTGTATCCGTACGAATTTGTTCTGTGGATCCCTTGTACCACTCTCTGGTGGGATCACCAACCGCGTTGCAGGACAGGGTGGCGGATCCCCGCCAAGGTCTCACTACGTGGCCCCCGAAAGAAGTGATTCTCGCTGGCACGCGATTCGTCGGGACTTGCGCAGCCACTCTGGAACTTTGACCTTCGCCTACGCGGGTGCTACCGGTCACCCAAAATTGATACTCTACGTGTTGCTGTAAATCAGTCGCCTCGAAATAGGTGCTCGTGGCTGGCAGTGTTCTTTTACCGTGATTCAGTTCCTCCCTACCGTCTACGACCCTGAGGAATAATACATTCTCGTAGACATCGAACTATGGACATACGATCCGAATCTCGTACTGGTTATCGGTACCTGGTGTATAGATTGTATTTCGTGATGACTCCGTTGGGTTCAAGAGGAGGGAGCCAAGAGATGAAGAGCGCCTGTGGCGAACTAACCACTACTTTTATGTCTGCTGGACTGCCTGGCACTGTGGATAAGAATACGAATATTGTTATATCCTCTGTACAATATTATCAATAATATATTTATCTTGATATACAGTGGGTTCGTTTGATGGATGTCTTAGGATCTTCATCTTTTGTCTGAAAGGTTTTTTCGTATCGATGATAGTTTAGGTGTTAACTGCTCTACCCTGTATAGTAGATTCTCAATGTTAGATTCGAAATTGGCATAATGAGAAACTTTACCATCTTCTTCGGTTTGGCAGTAAGTTACTGTTGTGGGAACTCCGTCCCCAACTCTCGTGAAAGCCAGCACCTGAATGGTGTAGTTCGTGAACTTTCTCAGGCCCGTGAGAACGGTGGTCAGAGCGCTGGTCTTGCGAACCTACCAAAATATTCAGGTTAAAGAGGTCAATATACCGCGTTGTATGTTGACGATCTTGTTTCTCTATTTATATGCTTGTCACGGTACCTCCATTTCATCGACGCTGCGCCAAACGTCTACCAAAATCGGCTCGTAATGTAGTTTGTATCCTTGTATGATACCGTTGCTGTGCGTGTTAGGAGGTGGCTGCCACGATACTTGAAGAGATTGCGAGGTGAGCGCAGCGCATCTCACGTCTTCCGGCGGCGCGCTGGGAACTGCCAAATAAATTCTAGTTGCATGAATAGATTCGTAAAATACAGAGTTGTCGAAAGGGGTCTTCAGCATTTTGTTTTTCAATCAAATGTATTCTCTATATTATTTTAAATGTAAGTAACAAGTGAAGGAAAATGTTGTTGACTTTAACTGCATCGGAGTGTTCAATATTTTTTTAACTCTGTCTAAAATATTTTTCATTAAGCGTGATAATATTGACGTAAATCGAAATGATAGCATCTATTGAACCACCCTGTATTCATATCACACACTAATATCTAGATTGTGGATTTTCATGCATTTATAGGAAATTTGAATATGCAAGAAACTATAAAATACACACAGTATGCAATAATATAAAAAAAAAACATCGAAGGTAAAGTTTATAATATTTGCAGAATAAAATAAATTCCTTTTTAGATTCAATTACCGTAGGTGGGTCAACATCACCAAGCTGACAAGCTTGACAAAACAAAATCTCAAAGTCCCCTTTGGAGAACTCTCTGTACTTTTTTTGTCTTCGTGCTTTTGATGTTTCTCTGTCAGTTTGTTTTTTTTTTTTTGTTGAGTAGGAGAACGTTTCTCACCGTCTTCCAGCGTCTGCGTGAGCAAAGGTTCCGAAAGTGGCCCAGACCCAACCTGGTTGTACGCTTGAACTACCAAAGTGTACTTTGTGTAGGGTCGAAGGCCTACCAGACGAAGTTCCGCACCCCCTTCGTCCCCGTCGCCAGATACGGAGCTGAAGTTGTACGAGGGATTCGCAGAGCTGAAAGAGGATTCCTAGCGTAATGAAGTGCCGAACCGTTTGGTGTATTTCGAACTATCTACGTAATTAAATTCCGTGGCATTATAAAATATTCACAACAGAAGCACGCCTTAGCCTACTTTAAGCTACTTTGGACATTTTTAATAAACGAATACGCTTAGGCAGACAATTTCGGGACGGAGGATGTCTGAAACTTGGCACAGGAAAGGGGTCGCGACTCTGATTTAACTCGTTTTCTTAGCTGGAACTTCCGAAAGTGTGTTCGAATTATTTCTGCCCATGAAACTCAACTATGTTACTTGTGTACGTTTTATTATAACTCCGGGGAAATTATCTCTGAAGAGTTTCTGGCCGACGAAGTAATCCTCATTGTCTGTAAGGACTTTCAAATATTTAAAATTGTCTAAGTGAGACTGTATAAGAGAGTATATTATCTTGGTAACTAAATTCAATACGGTTGTTGAAGTTGGATGAAAAAATGTTTACTCTTGTCCTCCTTAAGGATAACAAATTTCTACGCGAAGTAAATTGAAAAAATTACCAAGTATACTTTAAAGCACACGTAAAATATTTTCCAGGTTGGAAGAAAATTAAGTAAATTTTTCTGTTTAAACAAAAATCATTGAGAACATTTTTTACAAGAACGGGGTACAATTATTCAGTGAATTTGTAGGGTTCACTCGAAGTAGGATCAGCGTGGGAGATTTACTAGCCGGGTTCAATGCGATTACCTAGTTTCTCTGTATCCAACGTTGAATCCCTGGATGTCTCCGTGTCTCAGTTCAAGCGCGGGTGGCGACCAAGTGATTAAGATTTCAGACGAAGACAGAGCCCTCGCTGTAAGATTAATCGGTGGCCCGGCGGGTCTTTGTGGCTCGGTTCTGACGACTAGCTCTGCAGAGGGCACCGATCTGCCAGCTGGACCTTCAGCAATTACACGAATAGTGTATCTAGTAGCTGGTTTCAGCTCGTCTATGAGGGCAGCGTACGGGAGAGGCGGTCCGGTGAATTCTTGCTGTTGCCACATTCCACCTTTCACGATTCAATTAATTTTAAATTAATTTTCAGTGGTTGAAAACTTATACTATAAATATTGCATGATCTGGGTTATACTTGAGTTAGATCTAAGCTATGTTTGGAGCTATAACAACAAGTAACTGAATTTGTAATGCTCCTAGAACTAAATGACTTTAATAACTTATAAATGACACGAAGCAGACTTTTCTCATTTAAATTCGTAAATGTTGTTTTCTCTATGTTCCCAAATTGGATACGGTATTTAATAAAGGCTTAATCCTACAAGTCTTCAGCAGCTTTTAATTTCAAGAACACAGGATCATCAAAGCCTCAACGAACTATAAAATAATGCTCACCATCGCCTTCTTTGTATTGCAGAATATATTTGGTTACTTCGCTGGTGTCCTGGGATTTATGCTGCCATTTCACGTTGATGCTTCGACTGGCAACCATTGCGGTTTCCAAATTATTTGGCGGCAGTGGTGGCTCTGCAATGGAACAAAATTTCTTCGTTCTTAGCGAACGATTCTTGTAGATATCATTTTCTCCTCGCTACGATACGGTTTTGTTAGTTATCGTACCTTGCACGAGGAGTTGCACCAGCTGCTGATCACGACCATAAAGATTGCTCGCCTGGCAAAAGTATGCACCGCTGTCGGACGCTTCAGCGGAGGAAATTTGTAACTGCGCTATCACGCCGTCTGGTGTTACCTCCCGTTTCACTGTAACCCTTCATTAAGATATTCATGAGAAATTCAATTACGCAATAAGTATTTACCAAGGTGAATTTAATTTTGAATTCTGAGAGTTAAGGTATGAGAATGTTTCACTTTAAGTACGCGTTTAAAAGAATATTGACTGAAAATTTGGAACGAAAGTCATCTAAGTTTCCTTGTTTGGAGAATGTATGAAACGAGTATTATGTATTTTCATTGTATATTTTAGGTATATTATCCTCTAGCTTCTCAATAATGTCACAGTCTCGTTCAAGAAGATTTACGCTTATTAGCTTTACCGATAGTTCGTTGAGGGGTTTAACTCGATTTTTCCGCCCTTCAGCCACGTGACAGTGACAGGCGTGTCACCGTGTACCTCGCAGTGCAACGTCGCAGTGTCGCCCTTTTTCACAGTGACGAGTCTCGAAGGAGCCGCAAAATATGGCGATGCTGTCGAAGTAATAAAATATTATAATTCACAAAATCCTCCACCGCATCTGCTTCTATTATTTTATTGCATTAACTCTTTAAACTATAATAACATGTGAGCCTCGTGGTATAGAATTTGCGTCTAACACGAAAAGCACGAGTCAAACACGTCTTATGAAAGGTTAAATCGCAAAGGGTTAGATAACCAATTTACACGAATTTCTGAAGAACGTACGTACCCGTATGAAAAAAAAAGGGTAATTAAATAATTTGATAATTTTTCGGTAAAAGGATACCGGTCACCTTCGAAAAATGCACCAAAATCGCTTGAATTTTAATTATTCTAGGTGTACGTGATGCCTAAAGGCTTGATCAGAATTTGCATACTCACAATTAACCTTCAACTGGACCACCTTTCCAATGCCGCTCCCAATGCCGTTGCTGGCTTGACAAAGGTAAAATCCTTCTCTGTCTTCTTTCACGTGTTGCAACAGCAGCGTACCGTTACTCAGAATTTTCGTGTACGCTCTTTCCCGCAACTCCTCGTATTCACCGGATTTGCTTCCTGCGTGGCAATGATGACAAATCGTTAAGAACCGCGCTAACACGGTGCAAATAGGGGTATCACCGTGGCTTAAGTAATAGGATTCTGAGTAAGAACTTAATAGAATTGACTATTAATGGTCTCGAGATCTAATCTAGAGCAGACTTGATGGGGTGGTTTGTCCCCAATGCATGGTCAAACTGTCATTACATCGTGGGGATAGAGCTTGGGGCTTGGGGCAATCAATTCACTTCCTCGTTATTTTGGGGTGGTGCTTCAGACCTTCGCAGACAAACCACATCGTGCCCTATTCAAGATTGCAATGATCAGCAATCTGCTCTAAACTTCGAACAGTTTATTTTACTTCAATTAGAAAAGCGTTAAAATAGTCGTTAAAGACTGCGTCATGGACTTTTTTCAAATTTTATTCACTTTTAATATTATATTAACACGTCGACTGCCATGGAGGTCACCGGTGGCCGACGACAACGTGGCGGCAATTCTTGTTAGCGCCATGGGCAAACCACGTAAAATGCGCGCGGCAGTCAACGTGTTAATTATTCTTTCACTTCACTTTTTAATTTTTAGTTTACCTAGGATTTTTATCAATATATCCTTCGCACTTCATATCATATTAATTACATTTTTACTTAATTTTTCTCCCTGTATCTCGCACCTGGCTAAATATTTTGTTTGCTCTGCATATTACATTAATGATGTCCGAACGAATTAAACATTTGTTGATTATACATGTAAATTAATCCTCCTTCTCAGAATCAACGTATAATTGTTTATTCATGTACAAATCCGATATCACGGCGTATGAAACCCTATGTTAAATAAATACAGGGTGCAACGTGTACACCTTTATAACTTCCAAAATATGCGTTGCACGGAAAAATGTTATATACAAAAGTTACATGGTTTAAAAGGATACGCTACATAGTGCATTCATTTTTGTCACAGGTGGAGGCGTTTCGGAGATTTAAAGAACAACTTCGTTTTTTTTAAATAGAATACTATATTTTTCATACAAAAATATGGTAGAGTATCGAATTCTGAATAAAAAGGTATCGGTCATTGTTAGCCCTAAATGTAATAGGTAACAAGTTGATTACTTGACTACATGAAAATTTTCATCGCGTAATATGAAGTGGGAGATTCAACCTTATCACAGATTCCCATGGCTTAAACGCTCTGTCTCGTTATCCACCCTGAATATTAAATATTTTTCTCACCCGTAGCTTTCTTCCAAACGATGGTGGGTGTGGGCACACCCTGGGCTTGGCAATGCATAGCCACGTGCTTGTTCCTTTCCACGCTAACATCCACGGGTTCCACGATCCATCGCGGCGGCACTGGAAACCACCACGCTAAGCTTTAAACGAATCCGTCGTTGGTCTCCAGTCTAATATTTTTTTTTTTTTCACTGGTCGTTAGCGATTCAAAGACAGGTACGTCGTGAATAGAGTCGTGAAAAGCGCGGTCACAGAAGGACAAGCTCGTCGACGATGCGCCGCGATCGGTATAAACAGACACCGGAATCGCTATGTACAACGAGAAATACACTGTACAAAAGTAAGGAAAAATAAATAAAAAAAAAAGGAGAGAGAGAGAGAGAGAGAGAATAGAAACGGTCGCCATACGTCGACGAGTGTCTTATCGTTCCTTCGAATGCAATCGTGGCTCGAGACGAATGTCTACAAACGCGATCAAAAACATCGACATAACCGCGCTGTACAAATTTTGACGATCTCAAGTTTCCGTTGCTTATAGGGTGGATGGCAATTCACGTTCATGAGAATAGTGACAGAGACATTAAGACAAAGTGAATGAAGGTACGTGGGTTTCGGGGTACAGTATGGAGGTGGGTTCACGTGGTCGATGCGAGGCGTCCTTTTCGTCTAGATTCAATGAAGGCGTTCCTGCGACGCTGCATTCTCGATTGATCTTTCATCGCGGATCAAACGACCGGACTTTTGCTTCTACGGTGGGATCGCCAGTAAGCGGTTCGATTCGGTAACACCATGAACGTACAATGATAACCCATTCGATCAAAAAACGAACGACCAAAAAAGAAAAAAAAAAATAGAAGAAAAAGGAAACAACCAGAGAACGAAACAGTCAAGTGGTGCACAATAACGAAGCTGTATCTATCGAGACTCTGTAACGTGACTAGCCTATGCTTGTAAAGAAAAGAGAAAGAAAACGAAATCGCCACTAATTGTGCAATCGTCTAATGCGTAACTGCCCGGACGTGTCGATTCTCGCTGTGATCTTTGTACGTCGGTACGCCGCGCATCGACCTGTCGAGAGTTATTTTTTTTTTTTTTTTTCAAGGCATTTTGTCTTTTATTCGGGTGTACTGTTTGGCGGGTTCTACTTTTTACGGTGGTGAAAAACGCTGCACAAGCGAGATACTGTGAGTGGGAGATCCAACGTTTTACAAGACGGCAAATACCGGCCACGCATTTAACGCGTGCGACAATATAATATATATATAGATATATATATGTACGTGTAATATATCTGTATGTAGTGTGTGTGTTCGGCAGAGAGTACGTGTGTGCTATACTCGTGAAACAAGTAGAACTCTCGGAAGAAAAGACGCATAATATCGGATCGGGACGTGTAGGGGTTACGGAATGAGAGCATGTCGGCGGAAGTCCGAAAGATATATCGTGGAGAGGCGAATAATAATATATATATGTATATATAGATATATATAAGTACCCGCTTCTAACGACTAGTTCGACGAATACGAATTTAATTAATAATAAATACGTACTACTAGCCTACATTACCGTGTCGCGTGGAAACATCGGGGCACGCGTTTATTCGTTTGAAAAATCGTAATTCTAATGTCGCTACGATTTGTGGACACTCTCAGAAGATCGTTGAATTTTCTTCGCGATTGGTTTCAAAGAACGAAACGCAATGGAGGGTACACGGTTCGGTAGACGAACGTCTCGTCGCGTTCTCGGTGCCCCGCGGTTCCCTTCGCGGCAAAGGAAGATAAAAAAGAGCGTGACAGATAGTAAAGACAGTGAGAGATCATGCAGAAGTGTAATTAAAAAAGGTTGCCTTCCAACGAGCCCAAAGGAGAGCCAGCGCATAGGTTGGTGAAGATTATTTTTTTTTTTTTGTTGTTGTTGGTCGTGAGCAGAGTGGCGCGTGCTCGTTCTCGGGTGATCAAATAACACTTAAGTATAATAGGTAAGTTTAAATATGTACAGAGAGAGAGAGAGAGAGAGAGAGAGAGAGAGTGAGACAGACAGATAGAGCGAAACACGTAAGGTTTATGCAGACAGAAAACTTCATCGCTACATACTTAATAGAAGAAAAACATGCAGATAATGTGTGTAATGCTCACATACACGCACGCACGCAGGCCAGAGTTTTCATATCTTTTTTTTTTTGTTTTGTAATACAGATCGTTTCATTCTTTGTTAATTTTTGCTGGTTGGTTGGTTGGTTGCTCCGGTTAAAAAATGAGTAAAATAAGGATAGGTGCAAACTGTTACCTTTATTATTCGGTCAAGTCAAGCAAACCTCGGGGGGTCCACGAGATACCGACGCATTCCCAGAGAGCCAAAGCAACGTAAATGTAATACACACTGTGTCTGAGGGAGGGAACCACGGGATAAGGGGATCGTGGAGAATTCTGATGGCTAAGGGAGTATTCGCGATGAACCGCGTGATCTCGCTGGGAAAAACAGACTTAATCTTTTCCTTCTTTTTTTTCTGCAACGGACGATTAAGTGAATTGTTCCAGGTTTTATTGAGATTTTGTTCATTTGATCGTCTTTAATCCGGGCGAGAACGCTTCGATGAATAACGATTGGTGACGCAGGATTCGAGTTAGTAAGCGTTATGGCATGACGATGGTTAACGGACGATGATAACGATAATAATGAGGGAGGATTCGATGGATTCTTCGGGATGTAGCGTTTAATCGGGTTCTTTGGGACGGGCTTCGACCTCGACGACATATTGTTAAGTGAAGTGATTTTTGGATTTTTTATTTGTATTTAATCGTCAGAATTACTTGTTATTCGTCGTGCCAATTTTAATGCACAAAAGGTATTCTTTTCCAAAAAGGCAGTTTGTAGAATATACAGACGTGTGTAGATTCGAAATGATAGATCGAGGGCTTTTAAAATAGGTCAATCGAATAATTGATTGGTAGAGAGAGAAACAAAAAGGGTTTGGTTTCGAAAGGGACATTGTGTGAAGTATAATACTGTACGTCATGATGCGATCACAAGAGAATTTTTTTCCTATAACAAAATATTGAACTTTGAATTTCTCTTTCTCCAAACATTTCTATACTTTCAACAGTACTCAGAAATAATACTGAAAGTATTAAAACTGGCAATTAAAACAAATTATTAATTACATTGAAAAAATGTTAGTTAATGTTAGTGTACTCGTCGTTTTCACTATGAAACAACAAAATTAAACCACGCGATGTCCTCCTCGAGGCCAAACAACTTCCGCACGAAACATACTTTTGAAATAAAATTACAATTATTGCTTGCGAGTTGAAAAACCTAATTAAAAACTCTGGTAAACGGTACAAGCATTATAATTTAGAATGAAATTCGACCTCTGGCTTGAATCCGCGTCGTATACTGAAGAAACACCAGTCTATTGAAGAAATTTGTTTGAATAAAATAATAGGTTCGATGTTTCCCAAACAAATTACACATTACAAATACATACAAGTATAAGGCATATTCATGTACACATTTCTAACAAAACATTTATTTGTAAACATTAAATCTGTCGCTTAATTTCGAATTTTCTTCAACAGACCTACAGGGTACAAATATTTATAGAACTGACCGTCTGCAGTATTCCCAATAATAGTCCCTGTATCGATTACCTGTACTTCAAACTAAATTCAAAATAAACCCTCATTTAACCTCCGAGAACAGACAACGTACTCTCGGTGTCTCGCTTCTAAATAATTCGATAATGGCCAAATAAAAATCAGACCGAACCCGCGCCCCGAGGAAACGCGAGAATCGGGTAACGCGAAATTTAGCTTAGTAAAAAGAAACACCCTAACGCGAACGTGCCCGATGAACATAAATACGGTTCAAAGGGAAAGTAATGGTTGGGACGATTTCGCGGTTGACGAGACACGGGATGGATCGAGAACACGTCTTCGTCGAGATCGATGAGCACAGCGGTCAGGGTTAAAGGGCGCCGGGACCATGATGGATAAGGGTCGCCGATCATCTAGTTACCTTTTACCTGTAGCTTGGCCGTGTACCTGACCTCGGCGGCGGGGTTCGCGGCGACGCAGGTATAGTCGCCGGAGTGCTCGGCCGCGAGGTTCGTTATACTGAGGAGGCTTGAGTAAGGATCCAGTTGGGAGATGTTTGCGACGGATGCCAGTGTCGGTGGCAACGGGAAAGGGGTTTGGCCGTCTTTTAGCCAGGATATGGTCAGGGGTGGATCACCCGCCGCGACCCCGCACACCGTCCGCGTCCGCATCCCCTCGGATAGTCCCTCTTGGAACGTAAATGGCTCAATAATAGGGGGTACTGGAAAAGGTCAAGAGAGAAGAGAGAACCATACGTGAGAGCGAGAAAAAGATGGCACCAAAAAAAACGCAAGAACCATTTTTTTGTACCAGGTACATGTGTTCTTATATATATATGTAAATATATATATATATATACGGTTCATAATAGCGGTATGTATATATATATTATATAGACAGTAGTACGTCCATGTATATGTATAGATATATATAGAATATAATATGTATATATATATACGTAGAATATGTACAATAGAGGCAGTATAGTAACGTAGCAATGTAGAGGAGAGAGAGGGTGGCCCCGCCGCGGACCTGCCCCTGCCGCCCTTAAAACACCTTGTACACATAATTATGGCATCGCACACTCACGCAGCATACGATCGTTCTCAACGCAAGAGCTAGCAAGTCCGTCCACCCTTCGAAAATCACCGTCAATTTCGTAGAAAAAACTCTAATTTCTTTTATCTCGATGGAATTATCGATTTGTCGAAACAGACAACAGCTTTCAGCCAAGCAGAACATCGTTTCGAAAGGTGGACGCAAGGACGAAGGACGTTGTATAGGACGTGGCAGGTCTCGTGCAGGAGGATGGAGCCACGCTAAGCGTGAGCTGTCATCGAGAACGCGTCACCAGGTCTCTACGTTCCTGTGTGACGTCTTTAGGCGTCGTAGTAAAATCCTTCTCGAATGAACGCGTAAGAACCGAACGGGCTGTGCGATCCACAGTTTCTCATCGATTTCTCAACGTCGAAAGCTATTTACAGCGGCAAACAGCGCAAACGTCAGACACCGGTGGTCTAGGAGGTCGAGTAAGCAAACTTGTGAACGTGTGGACACGTCGCTCTGGATGCGCCACGAATATGTATATATATATACATATGTAGTCATGTGTGAGATCAACGATTCGAGATCCTCACGCGATTCATTCTCGAGTGTGGGCAAACCGTGTACGCACGCATACCGATCGTCACTCGTACAGATTTCGGGCGGTCAGGCGGTCGTCGGGCAAAAGTGAAGGGGGCCTAGAGGAGGATTACCATGAACCACAAGCCGCTGCGTGTGCGATACCTCTGCGGCCAGATTACGGGCCACGCACGAGTAGTTGCCGTTGTGATCTGGAGATAAACTTTCAATCATCAGTATGCTATTGTACTGGTCCATATTGGTCACACTGACACGCTCCGAGGGGCCCATCGATCGTCCGTCCTTGAGCCAGGAGATCGAGAGTGGCAGATCGCCCCTTGTCACCGAGCAAGTCAACGTGGTTCGTTCGCCGAGGTGAAGATCACGATCTGCCGTGAATGGGCTAATTTTGGGAGGAACTGGAATAATAACAACAACGACAGCTCGTGAACACGAGAAGCATAGACGAGGATAAACGCGACATCCACGGGAAGCCGTCGTCCGCTCGTCATGGAAGCCTAAAAATTCATCCCCCTTTTTCTTATCGGTTGCTTTTCCAGCAAATGGACCTTACGACGCGCGACGGAGTTCGAGTCCTCTTGGTCCAGTTCGCTTCCCGTCGCTTCGTATCGCTCGCAACTCTCGGGTCACCTGTAACAGCTCGTAGAATAGGGAATCGAACGTGAGGCCTTACCGATCACTGCCACGTCGCCTGATCTTCTCGCGCTGTGGCCCTGCTTGTTCCTCGCCGAGCACGTGTACACCCCCGCGTCGCCCTTCTTCTGCACGCTCGAGATCACCAGAGTACCGTCCGAGAGGACCTTTTGACGAAGATCGTCCGGCAGCTCGCGATTAGCTCGTTCCCACTTGATCTCCTCGATGGGGTAACCTGCGACTGGACACTTCAGGCGAAGAGTCTCGCCAGCCACCGCGGTCACCTTTGGGATTAGTCGGATGTATGGAAGTCCTAAAATGGGAGAATACTGTGACATTGGTGGCTAAAATTAGAAGACACTCTATTTAACCATTGCCAACATGTATGCTTGATTTTTTGGTCGACATACCAGCAAAATGAATATTTCTTAACAAAGAAAACGAATGACTGTGAGGAGGTCGTTTTTGGAATTCCACATATACGGTCAGTGTTATAAGCAGTCTTCGGATTTTTATGCATTTATAGGAAATTTGAATTTGTAAGAAACTTCAAATACACACGATATGCGATAATATAAAAAAAAAATATTGAAAGTAAAGTTCATATTATAATATATATTCAGAGTGAAATAAATTCCTATTTAGGTTCAATTTTTGTAAGTATGTTTGCAAAGATTTTATTTTGCATAAAGATCCGCCGTCTAGTAATAAGTATTCGTAGAGAAACTAATTTATATCAAGTTACATTCCCGTGAAATTATCATAGACAGCTTTAAAAATCTCTTTCTATTATTCATTACTTTTCAAGTATGTGATAGTTTTCTTATTTTCTCTACTGTATAAATTTTGAACGCAGAAAAACTAGTATTGAATATCCTCGACCGAACGAAGGCAAGGAATCAACCTCGGTGACGTTGTCTGACCACATACGGGGTAATACTACTTCTTTCTTCGCTTTCCTTTAGAATTTCGCGTTACGCAATGCTTAGTATAGAGTAGACGTTCACTTGTTCAGCTTTTGATGTTTAAATCAGCATTTTGTTCTTAAATAACTTAAACTAAAAAAGCAGAAAATAATATACAAACGGATATTTATGCATGAATAGCGAATGCAAACATGCCGAAAATTTACGAAGATATGTAAAAATGCAAAAATATATAACACATCAGCAATAAACTGGATATTATACTACACAAACGATAAAACATACTTTCATTTAAATCTGAATTCTACATCTGAAACCGCAACAATATAAATCTGCGTAAATGTCTACGGTTTAATAATAAAGTGACGTAGAAACGTCAAAGAGAAATTGTTCAGGAGGAAGTGTTCTATATCTAAGCAAGTATTTCATTATCGAGCTTCAATAATCAATTGAATGTTAATTTTACCATAAACGTTGAGGCGAGCAGCGTGAGTGACTTTTCCGGCACGATTTTCGGCCGTACAAGAGTATTCCCCTCCATCCTCCACCATCACGTGGCTGATATTGACGTGCGATATAACGTCACCGTGGACTGTGACGTATTGACCTATGACGAACCTTTGAACACGAAACGGGAATTTTTTTCAATGAAACGTGTCGCACAATGTTCACTCTAAACAGCAAGAAGTACGCGTGTACTCAGCGTACCGCTGTATGTGTGACCTTTGTGTGAAATTAATCAGAATTATAATTGCAACGAAAATGACTTCTGCGCATTGAAAAAGAAAATAATATTCGCTACGTCGTGGTTCGAATACGGAGGGTTTGGGAAATATTTGTTAACATCCAATTTAGTTTGCTATTACGTTCAACAAAAATAGAATGAAAAATAGTGGATGTGTCATGAATATTAAATAGCGTTGATGGAACCAGGAACAAAATTCTAGCTGTTTCAAACTTTTAACGGTCTATTTTCCAGTTTATAATGGTTTTATTCGTATTGAAACACGAGGAACAGTTACTTTTATTTCGGCATTTAATATTCTTCTTTATAATTTCAATTTTCATTCGACTTAATTCGTAATTTGAATTAATTAACAAATGGCGATAAGTTTAAAGTCCACTAATGCATATTTTGACATTTTAGGGGTGCCATTTGTGGGTTCATTTCCTGTAAAATGACATCGACAAAGAGGCAGTTATGGAATGGGTTAATATGCAAATGGGGTTACGTTTGTTTTTCAAGTGAGCCGCGGTCAGTAATGTTTGAGAAACACTGCTCTAAATCCTCCCATACTCCGCAACTCTCCAGAGTCCTCCGTAACCACGAAGCTCCCCCTGGATTCTCCTGGACACCTAAAATCCCACCAAGTTCCCGTATAGGACGCCACGAATCTGACCTGGGTGGGTTCGAGTTTCATGCCTTGGGATCATTAGTGTTTAGTTTCACGAACTCGTAACAGACTAAATCCTGTCTTATGGCTCTGGGTGTTGGGTATAGCTTTCACTGTGTGGTCGGGATCAGGTCTGGCAGTATTCGAGTTATCGACAGTGACGAAACCAATCCAATTACCTTTTAATACAGATACATATCAACGTTCAAATATTACGTTGATGCATTAAACAATCGTTGAAATTAAATTCTACGAGGTTCCGATTCCCAGACTTGAATTTAAAGACTCTTGCATTACAAGCCTTCTTAATTACTCTTAAAAAAATTCTTCTCAAAGCACAATATATCCCAAAATTTCATCATTCTTCTAAATATTATTAAAGACTCTGGTGTAACAGCTGCGGAGTCCCCTTGTTAGCATTGACACAGACGTTCCATCGGAAAAGTAGGCCAACGGAAGCCATATTTAACAGTTATCAATTGACACGGGTACTGCGAACTAAATTTCAATCAAAGTTAATAATTAACCAAAGTTTGCAAATTAACGGTTAACTCTGCTTCCACCGGACAGGTAATTTTCGACGTCCAATTCGCTGCACGTTGCAGTAAGTAGTTTTTAATTACAGCGTTGCGATGCGTGAATGGAACGAGGCATTTCAATAAAACCATTAATTCCGTTTACAGAGAGCTCTCGAGTCAACGCGAATTCGAAGATACGCAATTTTTTACTACGTACCGTTTACATGCTTATCTATTATCTATTAGTTTAATAAAATGGACTATTTTTTGTTCTGTAGTCTCTGTTCATTACTTTCTATTTTCCGTTTTTTAGTCACCACATCAGACTGCGAATGTTTATGCAAATTCATATTTTTACAGATACGAAAAATGGATTGAAACTTGAATGAAAGTATGCTTCATTGTTTTGAATGGTACACATGTACATTGTCGTTGATACTTTATGTACGGTCAGTCCGATAAGTATTCGTACCCTCTACGTTTATTAAAGAACTCTGTCTAATTTGAATAATAGGTTAACAAATTTCGTTAAAGGACATGTTACAAACATTTATGGGGCCGACTGTTTTCATTGTGTTCCATTTTTGCATTTCTCAAAGATGTCCCTAAATGTTCACTTTCCATACACGCATAAACATTCGGAGTTAACTCATTACTCCCCAATGTCCACTTTTCAGCTTCTATTCCCTACTGTTAACCCTCAATTCAACAATTCTTTCCCTTCTACCCTCCACCTTCTCTACCTCCCCGACTCTGAAACATCTCTGCCTCTCAAAACCGAGAGAACAGCTTGAAAATTAATGTATCGAGAAGCAAGAAGCCTATTTCCGCAAACAATTGTCAACGAACTCGTACCATTTCGGGATTCATCGCGGCGATCATCCTCGGGCCTCGAGATTAGTCCGTATCCGCCTCCGACTGTACGCGAATAAAATGGCAAACATTTTCCACGAGCGAATCGGTCGCGTTTCGCCCGGGGCTGCGGATAGATGCACGAGAGGAGAGGGGCCGTTTCCCGTAGTTGGGGAAGGAAATGGTTGAGAGCGATAAAACGGCACCAGCCGAAGAATCACAGGACGTCTTTTATGTCTATCAGTCGTTAAACCGCGCGAGAACCTCGCGTCGTCGTATCATCCTGTCCGTCCCCCGCGCCTCGCAGTTTCCATTCTCCAGGCCTTTGGCAATAAATATCCCCGGCTCCTTGGCTGGATATTGCACTCGAAATTGAAATTGGCCCCGCTGCAGATGCGGCCGCGGCCATCGACGACGGGAGATTGCGTTTTAATTACGAGGCATCGAGGACGCGTTAGAACGATCCTTTGTGAATTATGACACCGTGCGTTCGCGCGCGACGTTCCGAACAAGGGACGGAGCTTTCGGCTTCTGCCTCAGCGTTCCATCGACGCGTCGGATATAAAGATGTTCGTCGACGGACTTTCATTACGGGGATTAGGTTTTACGGCGGCAATTTGTGCTGAATATAGCGCGTTACGTTATTGCGCGCTGTTCTATTTTTATAGACGTGTAAGTATCTCTTGTATTGGCAGTTTCGGCGTAATAAAGTCGATATTGTTATTACCGCGACCGGCATCGTAAATCGATGATATTATTACCGTGGCTGGTATTAGATTCAATGAGTTCCCGCGTCTTTTCTTTTGATCTGGTTATCTCGCAAGATTTTGTTTGATTTGTGGCTTACCATTTAAAGGTTTCCATTTTGATCTTCGAGTAGGTTCTATCATCATTTGGATTATTTAATTTTAGGTCATTTTCGGGGATCAGAAGTGAAATTCATAATTCATTTCGTCGCGGTTAAGAAGCTATTAGGGTTGTTTGGGTTAGGTCTGGGGTTTTAAGATAAAATAATACAATCCGACAAGATTCAATTATGAATATTTATCATGCTGTGCTGTAGATAGCGAATCTCATCAGCCTCAACGCTCGGTACGTATTTTAATTTCTTATTCGTTTGAATACGATGATACGTATTCGATTAAATGTAATTAAATGGTGCCCTACCTTCCGTTGGTTGGCAAGGGAAAGCCATCCAAGGCCCAAGAGACTTGCGGCGTAGGGTTTCCTGCTGCAGAGCATTTCAAGGATACGGCAGGTCCAGGCTGCAGCGTTTGCTCGATGAAGGAGTACAGCAGCATTGGTGGCGCGTCTAAAACCAAAATTAAGGAGTTATGTAAGACAAAGTAACGTCAAGAAAAATAGTAATTGTATTGTCTGCAATCGTATTGTATACAATAATCGTATTCTATGAAAAATAGTAAGAATTGTACGTATCGGTGCAATAACTGAAGCGACAGTTACGCACTTAAAATAACCAAGCAAGCAACCAGTGGTGCCACCGAACGACACAGTGTTAAAAGTGGTCTCATAATGGTCCACCTCCTTAAACCCTACATCGTTAAGAAAACAGAAGCTCCTTCCGTTAAATCAATTCGCCTGTCAAAAATTCCGACGTATCACCGATACTTTCGACGTTTACATTAATCCATCACGCGAGCCAACACATCCACCACATACGTATCCTGCTAACCCTCATTTTCCGTCAGGCACACTTTTATCCAGTCATCGCGGCATCAAACACTCATTCGAATTAACAGGGGACCTCGAAGCTCACCCGAAAGAAACGTCGAGAGAAATACAACAGGTGAGACAAATCATTTTCAATGGCCGTACGTCCGCGCACGTTCGTGGTTTCGATCAGCCGAGTTCCATTCGGGTCGCGTATGAAAAGGGACCGTGGGACGTGGGCAAAAGAAAAGAGAGAGAAGAAAGAAAGAAGAAAAGATAAAAGTCAGCGGAGTCAGTGATCAATCCCAGCCATTCGCGCGGTACAATGACCGCGACGCAATCGAATCCATCTCGTTAAGAACGATACGCTCCTGCGTCGCGGACCTGGATATCAACGAAAGTAGAATTCCCGTTTGCCGGAGAGAAGAAAGAACAAGAGGCAAGAGCGTGAAAGACCACGGGAGAGATTCTTGATTCTGAAAGCCGCCACGCCTGCCGCGCATCGCGATAGAAAACGAAAGACAATGGGCTCGCTGCGACGGAAGCGCGGTGAATATTTTTTTTTCTCTCGATGTTTCTATCTCGACGACACGACGAAGGGAACGGGAGATGGCCGTGGGTGTGCGTCGTCGACGAAAGAAAGAGGGAAAGTACCGTGGATGGCAAAGGTACGAAAGTCCAAGATCGAAGTCGGGTTTCTCGTGCGACGCGGGACGGAACAGGGGGGGGGGGGACGGGGGAGGAGGGACTTTTCATAATTAAAAGTGTCGATTTCGTCGTCATTAAAAATGCTCGGGCGTCGCGTTACAAAGGACAGTTCCGTCGTTTATAAGTCGGCTGAGGTAGACGGAGAGGAAGAGATAGCTGGAGTGCTTTCGTCTAGGTGGTATATATAGAGATATGCTCCGCAGACGGTGCCCGCCGATCCGTGAGGAAATTGATGAACCTCGTCTCGATGCCTCCGAGCGATCGCCGATACGTATTCGCGAGACCGCGAGAAACTCATTTCTCGGACTTTGGTGAAACGGAGGATACCCGGGTGGTATTTATTCTGTCTGCTTGCCGCGGAAAATTGCGCGATAAAAAAGACGCGGGCTGGGCGTGTCGAACAGCGCGCGAAGCAAGTCACGAGAGCCTCTGGATCATTGATTCTCGACAATTCGGAAATTGAAATATCAATTCGTATTTTTCGCGATATTTATGCGCGTGAACAAAGTAACGTTTCTGCAGGCTTGAAAATAAGATTCCTACTCTCTCGTTTAAAAAATGTCACGTTGTAATCGGAATTAAAATATAGGGTGAACCAAGTTGGGGAAAGGATCGATGGCTCAAAGGGTACTATATTTTCGTTGTAATTGTATCTCTCGAGATTAGAACGAAATATTTGTAACCCTTTATTCGCTGAATTTCTCAAATGTCTTTAAAATCTATGCGTCCATTTTGTAAAGTCGTCTCTAACAAGCTTCCAAAAAAAAGCTTGTGCTGCCATCCAACAATTAAGAACGATCTTCACAGAAATGGATTTGAGAGTCATAATAGGTTTTAAAGCGTTTAATTAATACAATACCGTGAGAAAATTGAGTAAATAAAGGGTTAAACTTTAGGATTGTCGATCTCAACGATCTCATTAAAACTTTGAATTTCGTGTAACTGATTATTTGTACGTTAAGTTAAATTTATAAGTGATAAATATTATTTCACCTTCGTTCCCTTCGAGTTTCTTTAATGATGTCTTTAACTACAGATAACAATTTGAACTAACGCTAAATGAAATAAAAGAGATCGGTATTTAGATGTACGTTGATTAGGGACAGCTATATTAGATGTCAGATGGCTGAGAGTAGTGAACCAATGTTTACAAAACATAACAATTGACAATTATAGAAAAGAAACAAAAATCATAGAGTTTCTAGAATAAGGGAGAAAAATGACAAAGACATCAAAGTGGCGCAAGACAAAAGTAGAAGAAGCAAAGGGGTTGTTTTATTTGGAATGCATGATGATAAGAAATAGCAAGGGGACGACCACACGAGAAAAAGAATCAAAAGGACGAGGAGGGGGGCTGACTTTTGATTCTCATCGAGCCTCACGTGTCCACTTTTCAAGCTTCTTGGCTATACCAATTTCTCTCGGGTGTCTGGAAACTATCACAGCGTTCACGCCAACCTGTTCTGCGAGTTTCCTGACAGTTTGACGTGTATCTGACTCGACTACAATTCCCTTTAGAGTATTAGGGAGGCTACCATCGAATGGACATTTCACATATCACAAGCCAATAGAAAACAGAACAATGGGTCCATCCAGAAGTCGTCCCCTACCCTATATCCTTAGAGACTTCCTGTAGATAAATATCCTATCACACGTGGAATTCTGCTCGGAACTATACTTTCTATTCGAGCCATGTTACTGTTTGATAAAAACCAAATATGATTCATATTTATCATTTTCCTGAATCCCCGTCGGTGTACGAGAGATTTAATTACGTAGATATTTCATTCGCAAATGCAAGGGTAGATTTTCACATCTAATATTATTTAATACTCTACCTCTGTACCAAGTTTCCTAAAAATTGACGTGATATTAGGCGAGACTCTTTATTAGTAATATAGCGTCAGGCATTTCGTAATTGTTATTTTTAACGCGTTATACGTAACGTGAACAAGAACCCTGAAAGGCTCGGCAAACCAGGGGTGTCTTTGTTCTTGTTAGGGGAACATCAAGGGCCGAGTGTATGATACGGACTTTCGTAACGTGCTATTTTTGAGTGACATCTGCCAGGAATACTCGTGCATCTGACGATTAGTTTGACAGGGAATGAAGACTAGAAGATTAAAAGTCCAGCATAGATGAACTCTTAAACATCGTCTTTCACGTTTAATTGTCGAAAAATCGGTGTAAAAATTTATCTTAAACTCAAATACTCCCACCAAATTTGGTATTAAACCAAAATTCAAAACTCTAAAGCCTCATTTATAAAAATATTTAGATACAAGCAACGGTAACGTTAAAAGCTCTCGAGTTCTACTTCTCTGAGTGAAGAACTCCGAAATTTGACACAGAAAAATTTCAAAACTTCCGCTGCTACCCCAGCTCTAATGTACATCTTCGAAAACGTTAATCTTCATTCGTCGAGAAAATACGAGGCACATGCAGCCGCATCGGGGGGTAGGGAGAAATTTCATAATGCATCGTGCCCCATAATTTCAACAGGAACGTAATATTCAGCGCTCGGCTTCTCGCGTTTTTAATATACGCAAATTCGTTCCTGGTTTTTTCTCTCCCTTTTTTTTTTTGGAGGGTGGGGGGAGGCCACGTGAAACCGTGAAAATGGAAACCCGCGTCCTGGCGAAAGGTAAAAATCTCGTTTCAAGAATATCGACTGACGATCGAGACTCGATTCGTTTTGCGCCGATTTGGCTCAAAGCACTCGTCAGCGACGACTTTTTTTTTCCAGTTTTCACCGTTAGCCCCTTGGTTCGCGGCATTAGAGGCTAGCTTGTCCCTCCTGCAATCCCCTCGGCTCTTTGCTGGTAACGAAATTGCAACGAGCTCGGTGAGTCGTTCTCCGTTTCCGTCTCCCGTTTCAGTCCACGGTACGGTAACTTCTTGAAATATAATACATGGAAGGGGACTGCAATAAGAAATCAATTTTTCCTTGCTCGTGTTGGTATCTTAAATCGAATCCTCGGAGGCAAGTGTAACTGTTGAACTTTCCACAGTATCCGAAAACTAAACTCGTATTCGATACGATATATTTATTATATTATAAGCGTCGAAAATGAAATGCAACTTCTTCCTCGAGAGAGGAATCGCTTGATCAGAAATGAACGAAAATTCAAGTTAATATTTACCTATGAGACCTATTAATAACTATCTACATCCTTCTTTATTACTTTCTATGGATTTTAAGGATTGTAAGACAACTTAAATGAACAAAAAGAATAGATTCTATATTGAAAAAGTAGAAAAAGACTCGAATGTACAAATTATGTACGAGATAAGATTGTATAATATTGTAAAGGAAAAGAGGATTGCAATATGGATCTAAATGCCCTTTATACATGTGGACTTTAATAAAAAACAAACAGTCGTATTGGATCAGACGTGTCATTCAGACCACGCCAGGTTCTGGAAAAGTCATTCGACACTGTCCACATTGGGGGCGCCGGGGTGTAGCTTGTTCCTCCCTCTCTTAGCTCTGTGCTGGTAGCGAAATTGCAACGAGCTGGTCGTTCTCCGTCTCCGTCCCTCTTTCCAAGCCGCGGTGTACGTCCTTACCGCGGCACCGCTTGCTCGAATTCCCTTTGACGTAAATTCCGTGCATTACCGACGCTGACGAGCGAGAGACGCTAACTTCATTGTTGTTTCAAAGGCCCTCTCCTCTGGCTGGCTTCGGCCCCTGCATCCCTCGCCCAGCGGGACGTTCCTCTTTCATACGACGTTCCTCATCCATAGGTGGGCGGTCCAGATATAGGGCAAACGGGCGAGAGAGACGGCGTGCAGCGGTTACCAAAGAGTGGCACATGGACCAACGGGGAAGAAGGGATGGCCAGGGGTAGCAGGAGGGGTTGGAGAGGAGCTAAAGCGCCGTAAAAGAAGCCTTCTCCACTTCAAAGCGGAGCCCTCGCACTCGACGTAACGGGCCACGTGGTCGACTTGCTCTTTCCACGATAATCGAGTTCCCTGTAATGCGATCGGTAACGCTGACTACCGATTCCGATGCCCCACCTATCGCTTTCACGCCCTGCATTGTGTCAATCCTGACACGTCACCTCTGCGTCCTCTTGGCCGTATCGATTAGGTGAAAGTATCTCGAGGACCAATCAAGGGTTTCTCGTGAATCGATAAAGCAAGGGAATTCAACCTTTGTCACCCTTTCGAGCGAGAAATCGACGTTTCCAAAATGACGGTCCCGCGTATTCTTAAGAAGCATTTCTGTTTTTTGTTTAAGATTATTCGCGATACATAGTCCAGTAATATTTGAAACGCCGACTATTTTATTCATCAACGCATTACCAAAACGTCACAATATTTCCCAATTGTGTAGCAACGAACTGGCACAGAGATTATTTCTCAGAAGAATAAACAATTCGTCATTGGCTGTTTAACAGATATATGTATAGTGCTTTTTGTATGAACGAGTAAAAACGCGTAAAATGAATGTATCAAGTTTGAAAAGATATGAAAAATGTAGGTGTTCGAGAAAAAAGAATTCAAAGTTTTGATGGTGAATTACTCCCTTATTTTCACTCGAATCGCCTCGAAATTTCCTAGGAATATTCCTGAAATATCCTACTCCAAAATATCAAGATCCAGAAATGACATTTTCTGAAATTTCTAATTACCCCTCGCTCCTTGTTGCGGTCTATAATTTTGTTCATCAACTATCGATGACACTTCTTCTCGTTCCGAGTGTATTCGCATCGCGGCCGTGCCGAGTAAATTCGGACGGAAAGGATGAAGTCGCCGGCAGCGGAAAATGAATCTTCGGGAATGACCTAATTCGCTTTGTGCCACGGTAAAGGTGGATAGCGCCCGGGAAAAGTGAATTTATACGTGTGCATGGACCTATTGGAAGCCCTCCTCATCTGCAATTCCGATCGAAACTCCGCGGCAACTTTCCATGTAATTTTCCTTTGTGCAGTCGTAGTCGAAATGAAGCTGAGTACGTGGAATTCAGTAATTGAGATCGAATGAATTGGATCGAACGGGAACGCGCGTTTGTGCATTCGCGTACTTCCGTGTTTCGCGAGCCAAGAAATACTAGATTACCGCCCTGAAAATTTCATTCGTTGATTGCCTCTCCAGGAACGTTGCAAAATCGGAATTGCACCCTTTTGAACATAAGACTTTCTCTCGAGTGTACTGTAGTTTGGAATGGCTCGTAATAACCTCGTGCTTGGTAATCTCAAAGGTTTAGTTTGCTTATAAATTCTTACGGGGGTGCTCTTTATTACTTTATGTTTTCAACCCTTAAGTTTGAGTCATAAATGACAGCCTCAAACACATAACCAACGGTGTTCAATTATATCTCATACTACAGTTTTTCAAACACATTAAAATGATTTACTTTATATAATTAATTAATTATCGAACGCATGTTTATATATTTCTATATAGTTTGACATTAAGTTAAGCTTAAGTAATGATATCATCGTGGTAGGTTGAAACCTTAAGAAAATCTAATTAAAAATAAAGGATCATCGGGTGAGTTTAATTTTAGAGTGAAATATCGGTTACTCACCGCCCAGTTGAAGTTCGGCCGAGGCTTGCGCAGTGTCGCCTTCCGCTCGTCTGACTATACACTGGTACATTCCACGATCTTCCCGACCGATGCCGTTGAGCCTCAATAATTCTGATTGTCTGCCGGTTCCTGGCAGCTGCCGTCCGTCCTTGTACCATGTAACAAAGTGCGGTCCTGCCTGTGGATGCGTGCTCACCTCGCATCTAAATTCGGCATTACCGCCCAAATGGACGCTCAGCAACGGCGGGGTTACTTCCACGTGCAACGGGGCTGTCACGATGAGCCTGAAGAACACGTTCCTTTACGTCTACCACTGTTTGAGCCCAGGGAAAGGAAACGCGCAGGGTATTCCGTGGAACGAGGGTTTAATTTCCGGGGTTGAATTCAGCACGCCGAGGGACGAAAGAGGTTCGTGGAAACATTTGTCCCTATCTGCTACTGTTCGACCCGTTACAGCTGGTTTTAGATTTCGACCAATTTAATAATTATTGGGTTGTCTGGAGAGTCCGTGTCGATTTTTGGTAGGTGGGTACAAGTCTGAATATTTCTTAAAAGGGCGTGGAACGATATGATACCTATGTAATTCAATAAATATATTAGAAGTGAAAGTAAGCAGAATTTCTTTTTTTTTTTTTTTGCTGGCGAAAAACATTAATTTATTAAAGCAGGGCTTCTTGAACTATGGGTCGCGATATTTTAATGTAAAATATTCAATATTCTCTTTTATTTATGTTGTTGCAAAAAATACAGTTTTTATGAAAAATAGGGTATGTAATTTTTGTAACTATGTTAAATACAATTTGACAACTTTTTGTGCAATTTTTAATTTCATATTTTTGTATGTTTTTAAACGAATTCTAAAACTATATTTCTTCATATGTATATATATATATTGTTACCTAATGAATAAATCATTACAAAATATTAACATATCTTTATTTCATATTGTTGGGGTTGCGAAAAAAATCACAATCATAAATGGGGTTGTGAATGAAAAAAGTTTAAGAAGCCCTGTATTAAAAAAATCTTAAATACCAATCAAGAGAATAGTGTCCTTTGATTTTTCACTGAAAAACTTGGCAAAAATTCGAAAGTGTCTTTGAATTTTTCTTAAAAATTGACACGAACTTTCTGGACAACCCAATATCTTGCACCAAGAAACCATCGAGTTTACGTTATGAAGTTTTACGAAGAGAATGCATGCAATAAATTGCTACCTAATTTCAGCACTGGCTTCGCCGCCAGGATTAGCCGCTGAGCAACGATAGATTCCACTATCTTCTAATGTCACAGCTTCTAACGCCAGGACGGAACCAAGCAGTCTAGTTCTTGGTCCAGAGAGTACCAGCATTGGCTCGGAACCGGTTTGCGCGTACCATCTGGAAATTAAATAACGTTTAGCCATTTCTTTCTCGAACACTCTCTGAAGAAATACTCCTCCGCCAACGATTCGCCCTATTCGATGCAAAAACAATTTCGTACGATAACAATGTTCCAATATTACAGCCTTAAGAATTCTATAATAATACGTTCGCATAGTTGGGCAGTTGGACGATTGGAATACATCGCATGGAAATTGTCTGCGCGTGAAAGAAAACGCTCGAATAGTAAAAAAATTCTTGAATATCTTGAGTCTTTCTGGTTTCTGGTGCGACGGAAATTGAACGTACTTTAGGAATAGTTTTTCGAAGTCTTAAAATAAAGAACGATTTAATATTCGGGGAAAAAGACGACTCTCCCCTAAAATAGAGATAATTTTCGTGCGTTTCCGTTCGTTCGGCCGGCGAGCTATCCCAATTTTCCGGAGAGCACTATCGCCGTGGCCCCGGCGAGGAATAATTTTTCATCGAAAGGCAAAGCGGCTCGTGGAGATGGCGAGGCAGGCCGCGACGCAGAGGGAGAGCTTCAATTTCACTGGCTTTCGGGTACGTCGACCTAGAAACGACATCGAGTCGCATCCACCGCGAGCATTTATCCCCGAGATTCCCCGCTTTCTTTTGCCTTTTCCCAACTTCTTGACAGCCTTCGGTTCGGAGCACGTTCGGTCCTCGAACCGTTCCGACGGATCCCGATTTCTTCCGCCTCCCTCTCCCATCCCCTTTTTATCATCTCTGGGGCTCCTCTTCAGGCTGCCTCGTCGTTTCTCACTTCGTCAATCCTTTCCTCGTTCTCGATTTATTCTCAGTCCGCTCGATGCGCGATGGACACGGATCCAGCGGCGTCGCCAGGGTCGATGTCAGCCTCTACCAATATCCTTCCGCATCAGATCCTGCAGAATCCTTTGGAAGGATTTCGATGATATTCATATATCTTGTACTCGATATGAAATCAGGAGGAGTTCAAGTCATCGTTTTTCAGGTTCTGTAATTGTTTAAATGTTACAAGCCCTCGACGTTTGCAGTTTGTTTTAGTTTTTAAAAAGGAATCTATCTTTATAAATAATTTTTTTAACCCTGTGGTTATCGATAGTACGGACCTTGTCTTTTTTTGGCTTAATTAGAAAGCTTGAATCTGTTTGGATTCGGTTTGCTTGGATCGCTAAAATGATTCTCATAACGCGAAAAGTATTCAGTGAATTTATTTTTGTATATTCTTCGCAATGCAGAATGCTTCTTTTGTATTATTAGAGTAGCCGTATGTAGGTCTGTTAACGAAATTTGTCTAGATTGAACGATAGGTTTCATGTTACCAAATAAATTTTTCATTATAAGTATATACATACGTAGAGTTTATTAATGTACATATTATTTGGATATATGGAACCAATCATTTAATGTAGACTGTCTTTAACAGATATAGAGGGTACGAATACTTATGGGACTGACTGTATGTAGGTCTGTTTATATATATTTGACAAAAACGATAAATCATCATCATGCTTCCTTCTTAAAAAGAAATCCTTCTGAAAAATACTGCAACCTTTCTATCATTAAACAATCTTGATCAATTTATTAAGCTACAAAGGCCTGTAAACATAACCAGTCAGAAACATCCACAAGCCATTAAATTTAAAAATAATAATCGTCTGTTGAAATACCACAGAGAAGATTTCACAGACTCCCATTTAATATCCCCCCTTTGGTGGTGTCACTTCCCACCCTAAAAGTGACGCCTCTGGATCCATCAAGGAACTTCAGTACGGAAGTTTTACGAATGCAAGAAGTTATCGCGACCCGAGCCGCATTAGGATTTCTCGATCAGGAAGGGAAAAATAATATTCAAGTTACGGAACTACTTTTCGAACTGGTTCCCGAATGAACCGACGACGCGAGCCGCGGACCGAACCGGAAGTCCATTTGTAATCCGCGTAAGTGGCTCGAACTTTTCGCATTCGGCGAGAATTTAACGATCTATCCGTTCCGTTACGACGGTTCAAGGGTTTTCCTATCGAGCGAAACTTGTCGTTATGCCATCAATTTCGCGCCAATCACGTACGATGGCTTCTATTTGTACACGGTCTAAATTACCGTCGAACGAGACCGAGTTTGCTCCCTGAATCGGTGTACGGTTTCCCTTATGCCGATTGCTCCAACCAGCGTCATAGTTGATACTTACGAGTGTACAGAAACTACGACGCAAAGCGGACTACGTGACATTGCTACCTCTAATGGTCCTGTCATACTTCAATGCATCGAAACAAAATTCTTAGAAATAGGGCGCGTTGGTATTAGATTGAAAGTGTTTCGTAATCCAAGGACCGACGGCTAGGAAAATATTTAATCTCTTCAGACCTAGTTTAGATTGAACCAAAAAATAATTAAGAAGTTTAGTACATCTGATTTAAGCATTGAAAATAAAAACAAGTATGTTATTTGAAAAGGGTATTCTAACTACCTTCACAGCTCTAGATTTAATTTTTCCACAGATGTTTTTACACTAAACAGTAAGTAAAATTGTAAGTTTATATATAAAACAAGTAAGCGTATGAAATTTAAAAAAATGTTAATACAAATAAAGTGAGCATAGAAAGCTGTCTAAGATAAGTATTCATTTTTATTAGCTAGAATCGCTGCTTGGCTCACTATGTAACATAGCGACCAACGTGTTAATAGCGTAACGTCGAACTACTCGTCTTTGGAGATGTTCACGAGGTATTTCACAATTCGTCCCCTCGATAGTGCGCCTTGGTCACAAATATTGCCAATAAATTTTCATCCATCTCAGATATATTTCGTGTCCAGCGCATATAGATATATCTACGCGACCAACGGGAAAAGGAGATCCGGAAATCCCAAGAGAGAAAAAGGGGTCCCGGAATAGAAGGCTCCTCGTAGACCCGAAGCGACATGGAGAGTTTCCGATTGTGCTCCATTCGCGAGGTTTCACGTTCGAGTGCTCCCACTTTTCCTCGATCAAAGTCGCGCACAGTCCTTATTCCTTCGCTTACCATTCACCTCGAATATTCCCGTCTTCAATCTTCCTTTGGCTCTCTCCTTTCTTCCTCTTTTCTGTCCCATCCGCTCCCCTCCTCCGAGTCCGAGAAATCCACGTAATATTTTTTTATCTTTTCCTCTTCCCTTCCAATTTTTTTTCTTTTTTTCTTTTTTGAAGAAGACGAATCGACAGATTAGAGAGAAACGCGCTTTCTTCGCCCGTTTTGCTTCCTTTTTTTGCATTTTCTCGGGTTCCCCTTTTATCGCCTTCCGAGTGTCCCAAAAGCGCCGAGAACAGACGGATGCTGGTCTTCGCGCGCGAGACGATGGATGGAAACGAGTTTGGAACGCTCGTCTCAAAGGTACAAAGACGCAGTCGTATGATTTTTTCGCGCGCACAATGCACAGCCTCGAGACAATATTATTGAAGCCTCGCTGGAAAATGGGTAAGTTCTCGGGAAGCAAACGAAATTTTTACTAACTCGTACCCGAGGTAGACAACATTTTTATTCGGATAAAAGAATTGTTAATGTTTCATGATTTGTTTGCAGTTAAAGTACTTGGCATAAACTATTGAAATTTGGTACATTTATACGTGCATGATTGCGTTGAATTTGCAATTGGTTCATGTGATTTCAAGGAGAACTTCAAAAAACACTAAAAATGGTTATTAAAAACACTCAAACACGCTTTCGAACTAACGAATCATATCTGTGCTTGAATTATCGACCAAATTAAATTATATTTGAACTACATCTCAACAATTCTCCGTGTCTGAATTTCTAATTAAAATGTTCAGTAAACATGTTTTTATTTACATGTGGATAATGCTGTTTGTAATCGGCAATAATTTACGAAATGAATCGCTCCCCCCATCCACACTCTAGATTAAATAATTATTAATTCCTCGTTTCGTAATATCATTCGCAATTGGCAAATAATATGCAACGTTTTGATCAATTTTTTAGAGTTATTACCAATTGCCTAAGTAAACAAATCTTTGGGTATTAAATTTGTATGAATACGAGAAATGAAATTTACTACTCCTCACATTTGATATCGTTCTTTGTTAGGTAAATTAAATACAAACCAAAAACGCACACTGAATAACTCGCGCCTAATTATTTCCAAGATTTACTACCCTAAATGCACGAAATAATTTCTCCAAAATATATGATAGAAGTTTAACGCGAATATCTTCGCAAGTTTCTGATATAGAAAATTATGCAAATTAGTTTAAATAGCGTAGCAAGACATAGTAAACTCTAAAGTTCTCGCAACCACAGCAAGCGCCGATGGATCATACGCACACTCGACTGTAACATAGTTAACAACATTGTAATGTACCTAACCATCGATCTACGTGATACATTTATGCATGGTTTTCAAAATAATGAATTCTTAGAATCGATACCATAGGGCCTTGTACATTCGTTAATTGATGAACTAATATTGTTTTATTCTTCATTTGTACTTTACCATATTTTTCACCGAAATAAGTGACTTTGATTGGATAACTGTTTTGAGTGAATGTTTCGGAATGTCATCAAAAACACAAATTACAACAACAATGAGCATTTAGTACCAAGCAAATAACCTAATTAATTGTCGTCAACAATGACGTCTGTGCCAGTAAAACCGTGTCATAGAGAAACCGTGTTTTCCGAGTAGCGCGTCATAAGAGGGATCACTGTGTTTCCTTCGTCAACGAGGATCGTCGTGCCTCTGTTAGACGAACAATTGATTTCGATCGTTGCTTTGGTTTTGCAGTTTACCTCGCGCAAACACTGCATTAAATTCGTTTATACGGCTCGGAATGATGCCGATATTAAATTCGCGGACAAACGTTGAATCGGTTATCGATTGCCTAAATAATTATCGCTCCGTAATTGTAATCGCGTTAATTTATGTTTGCCAGTCGGTTAACCAACCCCCTCGCGAATAAAAGTGTATCTATCTCGGCCGACCCAGCCCCTGGACGTCCGACGAGATTGCCTTAATTAATCTTCGCGATAGAAACTCACCGATATTCGGGAGTGGGGCAGGCCTGCGCCACGCAAACTAATGACGTTGATTCATCTTGAGCGACGTGAACTACGCCAGAGTTTTCAAGAATCACCGGAGGCATCACCCCTCTGTGATCTGCAAGAAAAGTGGAGACTGTGGAGGAGGTCGATTAATGCAGCGAGTAATTGCAAAAAATCCGCGACCCTCTGTCGACGAACCAATTACAGTAGCGAACAAAATGATAGAACACGTAATTAAAACAAGAGTACGCACGAGGGGTCTATTTTTCGAGATTTCAAGGTCATTGGCGTTCTTTGAAAATGGAATAGGGTATTTTTATTACTGCAATATCGTAACTGATACAAAAACAGATTCGAATACTTATGAGATTGATTGAATGTTATGTCCCACCATTTTGTTCGGGTTTTCGTAGCGAAAGTGAGAACCTACCCGCTATCCTGACGTTGGCCACGGAGCTGACGACGACCTGTCTAGTGAGTCGATGCATTGTTCGACACCTGTAACCGTGTATCTGATCGCTGAATTCCAGACTGTGGACCAGGAGTTCGCCCGTGGGCAGCAGATGAAACTTTCCATCTGAAATCAATCGAAAATAATAGTTCAATAATAGTTCAACCTCAATTTAATTAAACGATCAATGATCAAGTTGTTAATCCTTCGCACTCGGAGCTATTATTAGGCGATATCCTTTCACGAGACTTCTAGGTCATCCATATCGTGTTCAATGAATTCAGACTGTAGATATAGGCTTTCCATGTAAACACAATAGGGGTGTGCAAAGTTCAGCTCTACCAGGGTTACGTGTAGTTGATACCTTTTAAAGATCGATTCTCTTTGAAACAGAACTCTGTTCTTAATTCTAATTTTTTTTTTTGGGATCTTTCAAATTCTATACTTTTATATAATAATCAAGCAAACCAGATATTTCTAGAAAATAATTCAAGACAACGAATTCCTTCTACACCCGCAAATTCTACTCCGGATCATTCCAGAGAAATATGTCTATCAAAATGATTTCAAAAATGTTAACGTCGGCATCATCAACCACTCGGTTATTTAAGCGGCACTCACGCTTACTGTAATGGATCACTCTGCATAACATTTCCTAAGTCTCTATATTATTCATACACGCAGTACAGCGCGTTAATTGGTCTCGACGTTCTCCGATAAACTGAAACGCGGTTCCGAATTATCTTTAATAATTCGTAACCACCCGTGGACCATTGATGTCGCTCGCTGTACGATATTTCGCTCCGTACCGAACGGTTTTACCGTTACGATAATTATGCTAATTCCAGGATTTCCAGCGGCGTGTTCTGGATGACGCTAGATACAATCTCTTCGTTCTTAGCCAGTTTAAGCCCTGCTCGTTCCTTAGATAAGCCGGAGCAACGTTAATGACGGTAGTTATCCTAAACATTCGCAGTCGCTTCGCGAAACCTCCTTTACTGCTGGGAACCTTTAACGTAGTTCACGAATACGAGATCAGCTTGCATAGCAGAGGTCGTCTTGCCGTTCGCTTCTGCCTTTCTTCTCGCATTTCCTTCTATCCGTGATTTTTATCTCGTTACCCTTCCTCATTTGGCTCGTCCACTTCTCTGGTTCGCCCATTTTGTAGACTTAATTTCTTATTCATTACTCTCCCGACGTTCTTTCCTCTTTATCCAATGTCTTCCGCCGTCGCCAACCAATCTTACCATCTCTTGTACAGAATTTCTCCAAATGTATTCCTTATTCCCGGCTCCTATTGTCCTCGTTGCATAGCTTAATTGTGATTGCTCTTCGCTAAATGTAATTATTAATACAAGATATGTACGTATTTTGTCCGTGTTTTGTCCTGGACCTGCCGGAGAACTCATTAGCACCGAAGTTTATATTACCACCGTTATCATGCTTCTCTCAGCTGGAAACCGTCTCTCACGAGACGAATTTATAATTATCAGGAACAAAGAAGATCACGTAATTTTAGTATGTTAGTTAACTACAATATATTTCGATTTAAACCATTAGAACGTTAATTAAAACTTCCTCGATATTTTCGCTACGAAAGACGAGTGGATGTTTAAGAAGAAACGGGGTATCTCGGCATGACTTCGTGCGAAAAGAAATCAAAAAGTTCTTTATCACTTTGTAAACTGAGAGTTCAGATTGCAAAATGGAAAAAGATTTTTTCACTCGCATTGGTATGAGGTATTGATCTTGGAAAAAGGTTCTACAATTTTTATAAAACACGTTATGTATATGGTGTGTAAATTATACAATTAAATAATTTACGATGAACGTCTAAAATTTATTTTTCAGACCAAAAACTTGGAATAACAAATAAAAGAAGAACCCTCTATTTGGAACTTCTCAGTCTATTACGCTCTACAGCCGCGAATAAATTGCTACACGTTCGTTTTATTCGTAATCCATTATCCAAGTTGAATACCGCGTACCACGACTCAGAGGTATATGAAGTCTGGATCTTTTTCTTCCTCCGAGTCATGCACCGCCATTTTCAATGTTTTCCATCCAGTCGTTTCCATTTTGCCACCCTTAATACTCGTTCATTTTTCTTTCTAAACTTCCTTCGCGGTCCGCTTTCCTTCGTTCCTCGTTCCAGATTCTGCCCGCAATCTCCCTTATCTTTCTCCGCACCGCTTGTTTTTCACGCTTTGTCTTCATCTCTATTTTCAGCTCCCCTCGCTTTAATTCCCTTTCTTCGCCGCGGCCTGTCTTGTTACCGAGAACCACTATCTAGACCCTGTATACGTTATTGCATCTACGTGCGGGAGTAGAATCGGCCACGAGACATTAGCACAGCTAAGACCGGCTGAGATAAGCGGCCCTCCTAAATAGCGATTGTCGGCCAAGTCAGCCGGCTTGGATGGGTTATGTAGTTTCGGTATTACACTCGATGCTACTACCTACGGCCTGCGCCCCCTCGATTCTATTCAAGGTAGATAGGCCGCGTATGTACGTCATGTATAACCGTACATACATGTACAGGTGCATGTACGAGACGGGAGGATCCGACGGGGCCTACCTCGAATTACGTGTAGTCTGACCATGGCGCTATTAGTAAGATGGATACGTTACGCTTACAGAAATATAGCGCCTCCGACTGGCTATAGGTATGCAAATATGCAGGATAATCTAACGACAATTACGTAGAATTTAATAGGATGCGAGGATTCTACGAAAGTATATTTGAAAATGTTAGGAAACGCCGTATTTGGCGGTTTGGGTGTACAAGATAGGTGGATGAAGATGCGAGATGAACTAAGAGATGGACAGTAGAGTGCAGAGTATATGATTCTTTCGTTATATAAATTTCCTAAATAAAATGGGACAGTAGAAACTATTTATAGTGCTTTGGATACGCAGAGTAGGAAAGTGTATGTAAAGGTAGATCTATGCACAAGGGTATATTAATTATGGGAACATAATTGTCATCAAAATAAAATTTTGTGAAGTTACATTATATATTATGCAGGATAAATGTTTAAATGTAAAGAGCATCCTAGCCAAAGGAGTTGTATAAATCAGGGACTTCAGATTGTGATAAAATTGAAATTCCTTAAAAATAAAAGTATAATTTAACGTCGTGTCATTATTAAAAGAATGCAATTTTAAGGTGCACAATAGTTTAAAGCGGTCACATTGATTGAGATTTGCAAGGATCGATTTAAAAGAAGAATTGAACTCATTTAAAGATGATTAAAATTGTTCAATGATTTGTTCGAATTGTTCGTACGATTAAAACATGTCGCCCTCAAAGTTCACTCTCTCAGACAGTACCCTTCAGAACGTACGAGAGATTCCCTGTCATAAAAATTGTGAAAATATTCACGAGATAAAGGAACGCAGACACTTGAATTTTTCAATACACAGATCGATCTTGCGCGCCGCTGTTTCGAAAACGGAACCTCTCTGATGAAAACATGCCGATATTGGAAACGAATGTTTGCTTTTGTAGATACGAGAATTCTTTTGAAGCGTGCAGAGAAAGGCAAACGCAGCATAAGAACAGTCGAAAGGAAATAAAAAAACGTCTCTGTTTATTTCGTTGCGAATCGCATTGAATTTAGCTCTTTTGTTCCCTCTGTCGATACAGAGCGACAACATTTTTGCATCATTCGCCATTCGAACTCACCCAATTAATGCGTATAATCTCCGTAAGAAGATTTTTACATTTTCATATTTAATTAGCACACATTCATAAAATTCCATGCAATATTAATCCCATAAATATTATTGTACATAATCGTTATGTGTCTATATTATGACAGAGGACATTAAATTGATTTTCATCGCTAAGAAACCGATTACAGTTTAAGATTTAACCAAACGCGAAACAATATTATTACTCCAATCGACGAATTCAAGATACACGACGTATTAGCGTGGTTTTGTGCGTGCACGTTCGCAGAGGATAAATTGGCTGCACGGGGAATTAACTGCAACCCGATCCTGATAGATGTGCAAGGATGGATGTAACAGATATACGGGAGTATTGTTTCGATTTGTATCGATCGTATTATGATTCCGGTCAGAAAATGGAGTTTCCATCTAGTGAGCTTAGAAGATCGCCGGAAAGGAAAGAGACAAGAGAAACTGGCAAAATTTAATTTCACGTAGACGTCTGGCACGCCGAGCACGTCGTCGTCTCGATTGGAATCGCATTGTGAGACTCGTACTGGATTTGTTACATTTTTTTTTTTTTTTTTATACGTCGACTGTTCAGACTTGGCGTCGTTTGCTAAATTCGTAACAAGATATGGTACGAAACAGAGACAAACAAAATTTTATTCGAATAATATACGAAACGATCGATGTACAGAGATATCTCTCTGACATTTACTTAACTAAACGATTATATTTTTACTTGTAAATATATAGTCAGTGTAATAAATATTCGTACAGGGACCAATTCAAAATAAAACTTCGTATATTTATTTTATTAATCAATTTTAGGGAAAGAAATGATTAACCAGCATTCCTACATATTTTTAGAGTAGAATTTGGGTAAATTAAAGTTTATTATTTTTAATGTTAACCTCTTATTTCTTTTCTTATTAATTGTATTTTGAGTTGGTTGCTGTACGAGTTTATCTTGCTTCTAGTGTGAACAGAATAAAAATTGTGAAGTATACACGATGGTCAATAGAACGTGTCATAAATTTGCGGTTACTAGTGCAACACACTTGATAGTGAATGAATCATTAGAGGCAGGCGAATTAGGTTCAGCACGAATACGGATTACGGATATTGGCAAGATTGACAGTGTCCTGTGAGTTGGGAACTGAGACTCTGGAGAGGAATTAGTACGGCTGTTTTGGATTCACTAATATACTGAGATCGCAGTAGTATTAGGCTTAATTTATCTATATACATATATATCAGAATTTCTCAAACTGAGAACAACGAGCTTTTGTATATCGAATAGAGCGAGTCTCAACAGTCAGAGAAGGTAATTAGCATACGAAAATCCAGCTTCCCAAACAGAATGGCGATGCTTTGATTTTATTGATCTTCATCGCTGCATAGAAACTAGTTTCGCTAACTTTATAAGCCTTATTTGCTCCACTGGTGCTAATGCTTCGAATAGTCCTACTAGTACTACTACATTAAACTAGACTTATGGACTATTATACAAGCTCCAATAAACTCAATAATTCTAGAAACTCTCAATAAAAATGATCAATAGATTTAACGTTGTCAATAGTTACAATACTTACAATGACCGTAGCATTTTTAACAATTTTGACAGTCCCAACTGTTATACAGGGTGGCCGGTCGGGTGGCACAACTGAGCAGAGGCTTAAAAGGAATAACATTTTTTCGTTTAACGTCTTCGTTTTCGAGAAAATCGAGTTTGCCTCAAGGTTTAGATATGTATTACAAATAAGAAATGTTAATATATGGGTAATACATTTATTAATTTTATTGTACATGACATTATTGAATAAACTGTTCAAAGTACTGTCCTTGTTGACGCGTACATATCATTATTTCAAATATCAGAATTTTCAAACTCGACTTTCTCGAGAACGAAACGTCAAACGAAAAAATGTTATTCCCTTTTTTTTCGACTTACTTTTAAATGTAGCATCACCCTCTGCTCGATTATACTACTCGGCCGATCACACTTTGTACATTAGTCACCACAGCTGTATCATTATGAATAGTGTTCATAATTTAGCTATATCACACGCCAACTATAGAACACGTCGTTGCGTTAGTATAGTATTATGAATTTTACTAGCGGGTCGCCTGGGATACAAAGTCTAGGAAGTAGGTTTTGAAGCGTCTCATCCTTGCACAGTCCTGTCCATACTTGCTTTCGGTAGCTAAACAGCTTCCCGCACACTGACTCTGTTATCATGGTACACGAACGGCAGATGACGCCGCATTATATACACACGCCAGATAGGAACACAATACAAGCGCAATACGGCGTATAGAGAGAGATAATACCGTGTAAGGAGCCTTAGCCACTGGCAGGATTGCACTTGGAGAAATAAGTCGAATTTAGAGTCTGGTCAAACCTATGTACCCGACCTTAGTCAGATTATGGATATGTAGGAGGGAAAGGTTTACCCGATGGGATTACCGAACCGAGATTTGAATAAGAATCACTCGTTTACCAAAAATATTGAAAGTAAAGATCAACTTGCAGAGATGTACTTGCGGAGTAAAATTTTTATTTAGGTTAAATTTTTGTGGGTAGTTTCAAAGATTTTATTTTGCATAAAGATCCACAGTCTAGTAATAACGATCGATAGGTGACACTTACAAGATCGGTAGTCGAAATTCAGTCCAGGTGTATACCAGACCGTCTCCGTCGACTCAAAAATCGAGTAGGAAGACACGGAACCAAGGGGGCACGATACGCAGCAAATTTCACGGTACCGAGCGATAACAGCGGCAGTTCACTGGGTGCGCCAATATCTTCGTGTCGCGAGAGCCGCGCGTTTTTACGGCGTCCTTTTTCGCAGCGTCGCATAAAAGTTACGCCGGTTCGTCGACTCCGCGCTCGAGAACCGTACGACAATGGCTTGCTGGAAACGAGCCAGCTCTTGTATCTTTCTTTTTTCCTTCGGTCCGTTATCGACAATGAATATGTTCGTCATCGGTCGGGTACAATTATAAAATGTTATCGAATCGACGAACGAGAGTGACACAGGGAGACGGAAGAGGAGAAAGAGAGATCGTTAGAACAGAGAGACTAATTACTGCCACCTGTCGAGGAGAACGAAGATCGCGGATAGATCGAGCAAGGATCATCTTCAAACGGCATTAACAACGCGGCATCGCGTCCAATTAAAAGGATCACTAATTAAGCTTACTAATTAATAGTTCGACCGGCGTGATATTACGTTTTAATTACAGAGCGTCATAATTTTCGAACCGACACCGACGCGTTCCAGCACGGACGAAACAAACCTGGCGACGTTCTTAAATCTAATTAATTTTCTACGACTATTAATGAGTCGACGCGTTGTACGGGCGAAGGTCGATGTCCCCGAGAATAACTCGACCTACGCCGCCAGGTCGGAAGGCTATGGAAGATTATTGTGGATATTAAATTTCAGTGTAGCGGCAGGTTATGGCACCCACCCTCACCCCTTCCACTGGATATTAAATTTTAGTCCTGGTAAGCAACGCTCGCGACGGCATAATGCTCCCTCTGTCCTCTACCTGTGTGAAAATCGTACGATTGCATCCATTCCACCCTCAACCTACACCCCCCACCAAACATCCAGGTGGCATAGCGTGGATGCAAGGGATGCACGGCAGGCAAAATGTAATTTCATTAACGATTGACGATTATAATTAATCTAATTATGAATTTCAGTTAATAACGAGTATTCTCCAATTTAATGTTATAATTGCAATCGTTGTTACGTATTGTAGAGATACCATTTCTCTGCAGACTTTGTTGTATCAACTCGTTAGGTTGTACATTTATTTACGTAGTTTCGTTTCACATAGTTTCGCTTTACGTATCTTTGCTTTGCGTATCTTCGCTTTACGTACACTCACTTTACAAGTTTTCGCTTTGCGTAGCTGTGCTTTATTTCACGGTCTCTTCATACACAGCACTGTTCGCGTACATTCTGCGGTCGTTATTACTTTATCGTTCATATACGTGCAATTGTTGCCGACGTTGCACAGGCTTTAACGTTAAAAAGGCTCGTATGTTATCAAGTGTACACGCTCGAACGCGCATATACAAGCGCCATTTGTGATTGCATCGTCCTTTCTGTGGTTCGCGATGCAAACCGTTGCCGTTGTTGCTGTAAACTAGGTTTCGAACTGTCATCGCGAATTTGTAGAAGCTGCGATTTTATATTTGTAAATGGCTGCATGTACTTGAAAAGTGCGAAACAATTAAAACACATTTCGTTCCTAATATTCAAACTGCGGATTTTACGCATTAATGACGTACAATAATACGTATAAACATACTAATGTGAGTGTAGTATAATATACAGTCGGTCTCATAAATATTCGTACCCATCGCGCCAATTAAAGAAGATTGTCTAAATTAAATAATAGGTTCGATGTTTTCAAATAAATTTTTCATTATAAATATGCACATGAATAACTTTACACTTGCATATATATATACGAACATTTTATTTAAAAACACCAAACCTAGCATTTAATTTAGAGAAATTTCTTCAATAAGCACAGAGGCTACGAATATTTATCGGGCTGACTGGTAATAATAAACATATTACTACTAACATACAACATGCATGCTAGTAAATCTCTACAAAAACAAATAAAATTGCCCGAAAGCGTGATCAGCGATAGATTGTGGCAAATTTGAATATAACACCTGGGTGGCAGGTGTCCTAGGAGCGCCCCTGGTCCAACCCCATCCCCTAACGCGTATAATTCTTCGCGCAATGCACCTATCGGCTGTGTCACTGCATCTGCGTACCTGGAATGTCCCTTGGGCTTTTATTGCCGTCTCCTGCCGCGGAATATTACATTTTGTTAGATAGGCGAAATTATCGATTACGCGATAGCGCTCGTCGCTTTTCACATAGAATAATAGCGTTTGCAGACTATTAGCCTCGCGCTATCTTTTTGCACGTATTTCGGGCAACGTCGCGACGGAAACGGGTTTTTTTTTTTCCTTCTTTCTTTTTGCTCCCTCTCGCGTTGCTCGTGATTAATCCGCGAAATTAATGTCACGAGAAATATATAGAGCGGTCGTGTTATTGTAATCTAGAGTTTCGCCCGGTAAGTGACAGATTTATGAACGGAAAACGGCGGAGGAAAAAGTTTCGGTATTCTCTGCGGGCTTGGATAAATTCTTGTAAGTTGTAATAGGCGTGTAAGGGTGACGTTAACTGTCTGCATTTCTTTTTTCTTACGAGGGAAACCAACAGCTGCTCCACTTGGAGACTCTGATGGTATTTGAAGGGATGAATCTTGAAGGCGAATGATTATAGTTGGTAGGGAGTTTCTTCCGTGGGTTTTTCTTAATGACAAATTTTAATGTAACATAGACGTCTGCCAATGTTTTATTTATTGAGGAGTTAATCAGGACACGAAAGAGGTTGTGTAGGAAGCTGGTATCGTTCGACTGACATAAAAATGGAATCTTACCTCCTTGTAGAGATGGGTAGATGTAAAACGAGGGTTCTTGTAACCAGGACACGACGCGTACCAAATCTTTCACGAAGCTGGGAACGACGCATCGCAATACCGCTGTGCATCCCCTGGATGCACCTCCGATCACTTCCACGTCGACTTTGTATGCCTGAGCCACCACTGCGAACAAATAAGCGCGGAGTTATTTTTATTCGTGCAAGCCGCGAAGCGAACTTATCTATCTAAAACTTTTGTCAAAGGAATGTAGAATGCGCTCTAAATAGCAAAACTGGAATTCGAACAAAAATTTATAGAAATGAATACGTCATAAAGCTTCCCAAACGCACTTTATCACTATCCTAAGGGGATACATTCTTTTCTGAGTCAAATAATAGAATTTTTGGTAATCGTTCTTGTTGTCTTTAAAATATTTCCACGGAAATTATGTTTAAACAATTTAATTCAACAATTTACGACTGAATATGATTGAGATAGCGTATTTCAGCTGTTATAATAGCGTGGCTGACCATTATCCGTTATTTCTACTGCGTTTTAATAGCGTGTCTGACCACTCTCCGTTATTTCTACTGCGTTCGTGTTTGGGAGTATTGATGAGAGCATTATCTGCATTTCGTCGATTTCACTATATTTTAAGTAATCAGATTAAATAAATAAAATGTACCATGTCCCATTTTCAATAACCGACATTAATTTTATGTTATCACGATATTTCTAAAAAGACTTGACAAGTATGTCTACGTGAAATGATAGGTTCAATGTTTACAAATACGTTATGCAATATAAATATATATAGAGTCAGTGTAATGAGTATTCGTACAGGAACCATTTATTTTAAATTGGTTGCTGTACGAATACTTCTCACACAGATTTGATGTTTCCAAATAAGCATCACGTTATAAATTTGTGCATAAATAATCTTGACAGATACGGTCAGTGTAATAAGTATTCGTACAAGAACCATTTATTTTAAATTAGTTGCTGTACGAATACTTCTTACACTGGCTGTAAGTGTCAAGATTATTTATGCACAAATTTATAATGTGATGCTTATTTGGAAACATCAAATATTCAATAAACGACAAGGGTACTTATTAGTAAACTGTTCATGCATATATATGTCGAGTGAAAATGTGCAACGTCCACGAATCTAAAAAACACATAAAATATCAACGATAAAATTCTCAAATCTCCATCCGAATCTGTAAAAATACGAATTTGCATAAACGAGGATTCGCATGAACGATCCAACCATTGCGTCGCAACGTTATCAATTTGCTACAACTAAATTCCTAAACCAACAGGCAGCCAGCAGCGCTGCGATCGTCGTTCAAGAAAGGCCTCTAACGAGCTCGCGAGCTCCGTACCGTCGTCGCAGTTCCATTAATTTGCAGTTTCGACCTAGTGCCGCGAAACACGGCCATTCGAATAATCCCACGCGGAAGGATGCCCTCGCGCTCGCGTTAATTGAAACGTGTTACGCGATTCCCGGCAGAGCGCGCCAGCGTCGCGCGTGCGGGCACATGTGCACACGCCCGGGACACACGCGGAGCGTACACGAACGCGCACACGTGGACGCGCGTAAGACACATGTGCGCGCACGTACAGAGGAGGGGGGAGGACTTATGTGCAAGGGTGTCACGTCGTTACTCGTCGTCGACAACCGGGTGAATCTCGTCGTCGGCGTCTGGGAAGCGGTGAGGCGTGAGGCGACGCGAGCGTAACGAACGCCTCGTCCTCGACGTCTGCTGGTCGTTTTTCTCCTCTCCTTTTTTGTTTCTACCGTCGCCCAGCCGCTCGAGAGGCACTGTACTCTTCCGGAGGATTTTATTTACGCGGAAATTCCAAGGGCGACGGCCAGCTGCCAGCGACGCTGCAATCTGACACACCGGCGCCGCGACGCCCGACGAAGACTTCCCTCCGTGTTCTCATCCCGTGACGTCGAATTTCTTGTCGTCTGTTTCGCGACCTTCGGCCGCGGGGTTCCTCTACTTTTTCGTTGTTCGTCTTCCGTTTCGTTCGAGTTCGGATAACCTTGTTTAAAACCTCACTGGTCACCGCAATCTACGTTTCCAAAAAGTCACTTTTACTTCCTCGTTTATACATTTTTTTAATTATTTCTTTTTAATAGCGAGCAATGTCTGTTTATTAGATATAAGCCAATTTTATTAAAAAATTTAAATGCATTGTTCAGAAAAGAAATGTCAAACTTTCATAAAAATTCAGCTTTTTAACCGAGCATGCCCTCTTTAAATATCAACAAGAAGCAAAAGGTTTCTTTCAACGATTGCATCAAACACGTCTCTTCGTTCTCGACGGAATAGCGCTCGCTAAAATATTTTTCCCGGTCGTGGTTCCTCAAAAATGTTCCTTTTCCGCTCGAAAACGTTCACGGGGAACTGGTTTGGACGAAATGGAGCGAAACAGGGTCTCGTCCCGGCTTTCCATTGCTGGATTTCCCGCGTCTCGCGACGGGATCGACTTGCAATGGTCCGCGAGAACTTCCGTTCGGTCAGCCACACCGGGATAGAAATTTCTTTCGTTAAACCGAAAGCAGGAAGTAAAGTTTTAATTAACGGCCACGCGTCCGGGCCAGAACTTTATAGCCGCGAGGGAGTGGTTGGGAATCCTGAAAGCGTCGGATCGACCTCGCAGCTGCCACGGATTTGCATTCAGATTGCATTTTTTCCTATTTTTTCTTCTCCTTTTTTTAAACAGGTAATTACACCGAGCCCCGCACCCGCCACTCGCGGCGTTTCACCCGCATCCGGTCAGAAACGGAACATCCTCGGTCAGGACTCGGCCGGACTTCGCTTTTTCCTTTCTTCCCGCGACCGCGGCACCTCCTAATGGTTTTTTAATTATTTCTCCTATTATTCCGAACGCTCGAAGCGCAATCAACGTTCTGCCCGCTTCGTTTAGCAACGATTTGCAACGACGGGACCAAAACAACTTCGCGTTGGAGGAAAATAGATTTATTTCCCGTCGTTTAATGCGACGCGAGTCGTTCTTTAAGAAACATTTTCATATTTCCAATACAAATTTCTGCGAACTATATTTGAAAAATCCCCAATTACACTCTGTTGTTATTTAAAATTGTTTTTTAATCATAGTATTCAAAGTATTACCGGCCATATCATGTTTAATCTATAGTTTTAGTAACTGCCTTTTATGCGATTGATCGTTCCTATTTCTTTTAGAAAAGTAAATATGATTTTGCACGATGAAAGTCCCAAGTTCAACAATTTACGACGGAATATGATTAAGATAGCGTATTTCAGCTGTTATAATAGCGTGACCATCCTCCGTCTGACCACTATCCGTTATTTCTACTGCGTTATAATAGCGTGTCTGACCATTATCGGTTATTTCTACTGGATTTCGTCGATTTCACTATATTTTAAGTAAGCAGATTAAATAAATAAAATGTACCATGTCCCGTTTTCAATAACTGACACGTGAATATGATTGGAATAACGTGTCTGGCCGTTATTTTTATTTGCTTTGGTGTTTGTAATTATTAATCACGGTATTATCTGCTTTTCATCGATTTTACTATTCGTTTATTAGTTAAATTAAAACAGATAATGCCATACCATGGACATTGTTTGCAAACGCCAATACAAATAGAATTAGTAAGTAATGGGCGGATAAATTTCATAAATATTTAAATATATCGAGATGAATTTTCCGTGGAGTAGAGTAATAAGGATAAGCTTCAATCAAAGCGTACTCAACCGTAGGATTACCTATTGAATTATCAAAAACAATATTTTGGAAAACAAAACCTCCTATCAAAAAATCCCGTACCATTCGGGTGTGTTTAAAAATCAAAATTCTGAAATCGATTTTTGTGCGACCAATAATGATACTAGGATGCCCAAGGGGTTAAGATAAGGGGTCAGATGAAGCATTCGATCTACAAAAATTGATAACGGAACTCGTGTATTTCGATCTGGTACCTTCAAATTTACGATCCGATAGAAACTTATTTCCAATTCATAGATGCAAGCAATTTAAACAACAATAACCATAAATACATGTTTAATTGTACCACATTGTAGTATTAATTCGAACGAGTTCCATGAATATGTAAATGTGGCAGGTGAAATTCTCTAGGGTGTAAAACAATAATAATAATTCGATGTTGAACGTACAAAGTACAAATTATGCTGTACAAAGGAAAAATGAAAATATGAAAGAACTGAGAAAAAATTGTTTTTAAAAAATTCAAATTGAAATCTAAATTGAAAGCACATATTCTGCATGGGAACTATTGTGATTTCGATTATGTAGTTTGCAAAGCAAGTATACAGGGTGTCATTTAACTGTTGCATCTCGTATACCTCGCATGTTTTTTATGATTAAAATTTTTTAATAGTTTCTAAGAGATTTTATACTTTTTCAACACAAGCAAAGAAACTCCAAGCATGGAAATTCTAAGCAAGGAAATTCTAAGCAGGAAAACTCCAAGTATGGAAATTTCAAGCAAGGAAATTCAAAGCAAGGAAACACCAAGCAAGAAAATCAAAAATCAAGGAAATTCCAAGCATGGAAATTCTAAGCATGATAACTCCAAGCATGGAAATTCTAAGCAGGAAAACTCCAAGCAAGGAAATTCCAAGCAAGAATACTCAAAGCAAGAAAATTCCAAGCAAAAGAACTCCAAGCAAGAATATTTATCCTAAAAATTTATATAACCATCTATCTGATAAACCTACTAAAGGTTTGACAAAATGAGCGTTTAGACCGAAAATGTTAAGAAACGGTCCAATGATCGCTGATATTTTCTTACCTGCCCTGACCTGGACGTCGCGGCTAAGGACTCTTCCAACGGAATTGCTCGCGACGCATCTGTAAGCAGCGCTGTGAACATCCTGACGGAACGCAGCGGCCGGAAACGGCAAAAGGACCAACGTGCCATTCCTCAGCACTCTTCGAACGCCCGGTACGTCGTTCACCGGATGTCCATCCGCGGTCGACCAATCGATGTTGGGCGGAGGGCTTCCCGTCGCGGTGCAGTCCAGCCAGGCGCCGCTCGAATTTGAAAATTCCACCCTCGACGGCGGTTCGATGACGAAGCTTGGCCCGCGTAAATGCGCGTCGAACCCGTGACCGCTCGCGGACGTCACTGCTGCGGCTGCACCTGCCAACAAAAACGAATGCCTGTTGTAAAATTCGCATAAATCCACGGTATGATTGACGAAAAACTGGTCGCGCATAGTGGAGCTGGAAAAACCTGTTCGAGAGTAAAGAAACGTAAATGGCGGTAATTAATCACTTTCGGGTGTCATACAGTTTCCAGTCAACGCTCAAGAATATGTTATTGCTATTAGGCAAGTGTAAAGTTACTTTAATATTGAGAGATTTAGTTTGCAAGTAGAGAGTGTTTTATTGAAGTTGAGATTAGGTGGATTTTTATTGGAAATTCGTAATAATTGTAGGTGATACTAATGGCTGATCGTTACAGCACACTGGTCATTGTTTGATCCATTGATTCAACATTTTTTATTTCTATTTATAGTGAATTTAATTCGCCAAGGATATTATAAGGGAAGAAAGATTTATATTCTCGTTAACTTTAACAAAAGAAAGTTACAAATTCGACTCTGTCAAATTAAAAATCTGCAGTATTAAAAATCTTTATACGCGAACTTTGTTGCAAATCTAACAACTTTCTAGCATTCAAGTTTGCCACATCGAGTTGGCTATTGTAAATTTTCCAATTCCGCTAACCAGATTCTTAATACATGCAAAAATACATGGAGTATCGTGAAAATCTGAAAAGCTCTTTCCAGTTTTGGCCAGTTTTGTGGAATCCCAGCCCGCCGTGCGACGCACGAATTGCCAGTCAGCGGACCGCGAGAGTTTAATTGCGACGCAGAATCGTGTCCCGCGATTTTTCCACATTTTCCATCGTCGGTAATTTTGATTAAACCTTTATCGCCGTTGAAAATATTTCCCGCTACCCAGACGCTGATTTCGAATGAATGCGAAATCGGGAATATTTCGCTCGTGACGGAACGCCTCGGTGCTGGATTATGGTTTGCAATATTTTGTATGAAATTGCATCAGCCGCGTATAATATTTTGTATTAAATTACATACCGCGATGAATTGTATTTTACGCGATGCTCGGTATGGCCGATCCGTGTAATATGCCATCATAAGCTTCTGCGGCGATGTGTAGATTTGAAAAAAAGAGCTCCGAAACGAACGAAATTGGTCGTAATTTTGTTCGTTTACGATTTTAATCGAAAGTAATATTACGTGATATTAAGTCAGCGATGATGTGAATGTTTTATAGATAATACTGACCTGTAACGTATCAAACAATTTCGTGTGTTTATTAAATCTTTCTGGTGTGACACTTTAAATATTACAATTTTTTTTGTAATTACGTGTACGATTGACTCTACATAAAAATTACTACTATCTAAGATAACAATACCTTTTAGGATCACAAACATAAACATATTATAAATCATACTTGTTATTAAAAAAACAATTGTTGTTGTAAGGGACTAAAGATTTATAATTGGTCCCTCGAGAGGTTAATGACGTGTACACGTCACGCGATGCACACACGGTGCACAGTTTGCTCGTTCGATTCCGCCGCGGTGAAATAGTTCGTCGAGTTTCAAAATTGATTAAGCGCTTCGGTTATCGCGATTGTCGGTAGCGAGGATAGCACGTCGGCCAAGTTATCCTACTCGAAGTGTATCAGACATGCTGTGCATCGACATAATGCTTTGATCAGGGGCGCGAAAACACGAGTCAGCAAGTACTCGGGGCTCTTGCGTCGTTAGAACCAGTGGCTTCAAGCCACTTCGGGCTAATAACTTCGGCCAGGCCACTCTCGTCGAGAGTGCAGTTTAATTGTCACGATATTCATACGGTGGCAAGGGAAACACAACGCGCGGGGAGAGTTCGATTTTAGGAAGGACAGCGCGTCCAATGGAGACCAACCAACAATTGAGGGATGTGGTGAAATAAGGAGACAGCTCCACTTTTTTGTATGGTGTTGAGATTGGAACATAATCACGGATTTAAAACGGATTTGATGGAGACAGAGCAGGAAGAAGAATGAATTTTGCACTAATTTTACGACCTTTTGTATTCCGCATTTTTTGTTTGTATCGCCAAATGTTTTGAGAAATTAAAATAAATATGTGTTTGAAAGAAAATTTATTATTAGAATTATATAATTACATTAACACGACACACGCGCTTTCTTTCGCTTTGCGTTACAACGACTTTACGATAATAATAATAATCAGAGTATTATGTTTATATATTTGTCGATACTCTTTCTAAATCGTGTACATATTCACCATTTTCGCAGTCGAACTGGAGTTTTCAATTTTGCAAAATCGAGTTTATCCTATTTTCACAGCGATCGAGATTTCACCGCGGCCGTGCGGAACGTACGTTCTAAAACGTATCGATCGGGACTTCGCGCGGTAGTGTGTTAATTAAAAATTCATTTATCTTTAATTCAATTCTCCGACGGCGCGATGGACGGTGTTCGTGCGCACACGCGCGAATTCGGAGTCTGGTCTAAAAGGATAACGTTTGGACCTTTTTTTAATACTATTGTGGTAGGGCCATTATATAATAGCATTTGTTTAAACCAATTCGTCAACCAGTAATTCAAGATCATCTATTGCAATATAAATCCCTTACTATTTCTTTCCTACTTTATTGTTGTTTACATCATTGATGTTAATTTGAGTAATGCTACACACACCACCAATCGCAATTCAAGATTACTTACTGTAATTTAAATCCCTTAATATTACTTTTCTATTTTACCGTTCCATTCATTACAATTATAATGGATATCGTTGTTTGGTTAGTCTAGGAAATAGGTACTTCTTGAGTCTTGCTCAAATTAACATCAATGATGTGTACAACAATAAAATAGAAAAGGAATATTAAGGGATTTATATTACAATAAATGATCCGGAATTATGATTGGTGGTGTATCTAGCACAAAGAAAAATTATCTAGCATAATGAAAAGTAAACATATGAAATAATGATTAGATACTTTCACTTGTAACGTCTTAACCTATTGATCGATATATCGCTTATTACGTCAAAATAAAATTAATGAAATGTACGACTGACTCCTAATGTATCCCTAAAATATAAAAATTTGAATGATTATCTATGACATCCCTACGTAATGACAGTGAACGTGTTAAAAAGGTGGGACATCGCTAGCAATTAACAAACGAACCGAGACAGAGAGGGGGGAACGGAAGGGGGAAAGGTTATTGCATATCTCTGCCGTCGTTCATAAGTGAAGAGCGGTTCAGTGAAACGTGGAACTCATAACGACGTCCAAGGGACAGGACTCGTAACTCGTTTATAACGACGTTCGCGGGAGAGAAATTCGCGTCGCGACCGAATTTCGTAATACCCTTGGCTAGTATGCGCGCCGCATACAAAACACAAAGTATGCAAATCCCCGCCGCGGCCGAATTGAAATCCCCGTAGTGTCCGGCAATTACAGAACGTCACGCTGACTCGCTTCCGGAATTGTCTCGAGCACTTAATTACTAATTCCAGCCAAGTGTTTTGGTAGCTAGCTTCACGTTGAATTTCACGCATGGTCCCTTATCCGACCCCTCGCACACGCACGCACACACACACACACACACACACACATACAACGCACACGAGCGCGTGCGTGAGAGCTCTGCAATTAAGGGGGTATTCTGCTCTGGAATCCCAAAGAAGAGGTTTCTTTCTGAATTTTTTTACTCGAACGTTACTGAGGATGTTTATGTAGTTTCATATTTTTGTAAATACGAATGACGAATGAGAATGTAGAGGAAAGTATGTCTTATCTTCTATGCAGTTCCTTTATCATTCATATTTTATATATTTTTGCATTTTTCATTTTTCCACGTTTCCATTTGCCATAAATGCATAAACGAACACGGTCTACTGGTGACAGTCTTTTCAAATTCAATATGTTTAATCATTCAAATTTCAAGGAGGTGCTTATTTTTATTTTTTAATGCGTTTATTTAAAGTTGCGTCAACGTTATTTAGCAAATGCTCCATATTGTAAATTACAAATCACGGTATACTCTATAATAATATAAACCTCTATAATAGTACACAAAGTTTCCAGACGGTGCAAAGAAATAAGAATCGATTTCTTAAATTGTTTAAAACAGTAAATCTCGTTGATTCGAATATCTCAGCGCTTTTCCCTCGCAATACGACAAATTGTTTTCTCGAAATGGCTCTATTATTCGATTTCATCGGCTGAACTTTACGATGCATGTTAATTGTTCGGCAATATTCTGCCTCGATATTGCGCGAAAGTGAATATTTTTCATTTAACGCGCTAATAAGCGAGTTACAATTTCAATTGTTCGCGACACGTGAAATTGAATCGCGCCGTGACGCGATTACGGTACGTGAGTCAATGCGCGATGTTAATGGAGTAATTACAGGAAAAAATTCGTACTTAATTGGATAGAAATACTGCGAAACGGACATGCCAGCCGTGTAAGCGACGAAGCCAAGGGCGTTTTTCAACAGAGAGAAACGGATGGTGTTCGTCAAGTCGGTGGAAAGGTTCTGAGAACGAACTAGAAACACTTGGCAAACTTGCGACAAGAGCACGAAGCTTTCTCCCTATTTGGCTACACGGAACGAGAAGGATGTTATCGAGCGAAAAGGATTACATTGCAGCAAGAGAATGTGTTGTAAACCTAATAAAACCGCAAGGATTATTATAGTAACTTTCGAAGTGGACTCTAGCAGAATATTTCTTACAGAGCTGTAGCACTTTTAGTACAAATATATGAATTTAAAAAATTCATCGTTTATTTATTTTACTCTAAATGTGCAAACAAATAGTAATAAAGCATCCCCAAGTAATTTTTTAAGCAATGCTTCTTGAGGATTATGCCAAAGTTTACTTTATATTTTAAATTGCTTGCAATGTATTATCGTTGATTCTTTCTTAGATTAAGACCCGACTAATGAAAGGTATAATACACGTTATTCTCTATAATCATTTTTGTCTCCCTTTTTACTGGTCTGTTTCATTCATATCGATACGAGATTCCGATTGTTTTCCGAGTTAGTACTAGTTTGGATTCCCCTCGAGGAAGTCTAAA